AAAACACATAACACTAACGTTGCTTGACTCTTTGGCTTCCATGAGTTAATGCTATAGAACTCTGGGAGTTGTAGTTTTCCTGGGAGTTGTAGTTTCACAAAGTCTATCACCTTCCCTGGGTGCATCTGTACCGTAATATTTTTATTAAGTAGTGATTGATAGAATAATAATATAAAAATGTTTTATAGTTTACTGTTGTTGTCATTGTGTGCCATTGAGTCATTTCTGATGTATAGGTTTCTCTGGCAAGATCTGTTCACTTTAAATAATAACAACAATAAGGATGGGTTACCCAATTATCCTAATGGCTCAATGCAACAAAATCCTGGAAATTGTAGTTCTTACGAGGCCTTCAGCCTCCTCTGCCCATAGCACTGAGCCATTAGGAAAGTGGTATCAAATTACACTAAGTCTACAGTGTAGAAGATGCAGCGTTCAATGGGTAGAAACTTCGGAAGTCAAATTGTCGTGCCTTTCCTTTGGAGTTTTAATCAGCGTTGTCCTTTCAGCCTTTCAAACTCTAAAGTTCCAGCAAAAACAAATGACCTTCTTTGCATCTTAAAAGCCACAAGTTCAGGAGCTTTAATGTTTGTCTTGGCTCTTTGGGAAGTTCAACTGGCTTTTCTCCATGGTTTAAAAGGGCAACACCAAAAGGAAAGGCTCCTCCAAATCCCATGAAGCCAAGATGTCAGATGCATCAATGCAATGTTATTTTGGGGTGGTTTCAAAATGAAACCTTTGCATTCATGTTTCCACAAGATAAATTTGGAATGTCTTTCATGACAAATAGTTTCGCTGAGGTCGGCTTGCCCTGGCTTTGCATTGCCAATCTCTTGCTTAGACAGAACTACAGTAGGGTGCTGAATGACTGCAGTTTAACACCACTTTTAATGGGACTATGTAGATTTACAAGGTCTTGAGTGATGGCACCTCCCCCAAACTACAACTCCAGGAAGCCCATGGGGCAGTGAAAGTGGTGTGAAACTGCATTAATCCCACAGTATAGATTTCACCCTTAGTTCCTCTCCCATCTTGCAAACCTGAAACCCAATCAAGCAAAACAGGGGACTCTTTATCTTCGTAGAGTGGGATGCAACAAAAGATGGGTAACAAATAAAACCAAATGGAGACTTCATCCCATTATTTGGCATTTTAAAATCCCATTTAGCAAGAAAATATTTGACCAGGAGATGGTACATACTTCTCCCCCAAAGTCAAGGAAGTCAGTGTTTATCGACTAACTCCTGTTGGTTCCTTCCCATTTGTTGCAGAGGACTGTGGAGCCATAACCTGAAGTCTGTCTGGTTTGTCTCGTCTGCTTTGGGAGACAGGTCTCTCACAGAGAATAGCTTTTCCAATATTTGGAGCAGCCTTGGAAGGGGTTAATCTGATATCCTCCTCAAGGAAAACATAAAAGGCTTTGAGAATTGGGTGCAAAGCATGCTTAAACAAGCATCAGTTGAGAATCCCTGGAGAAAAAGGGGATCTGGAAGAGATAGCTCTTTGGTAGCGGATAATGTCGTACTTTGGAGAAAAGGGAGTCTGGAAGAGATAGCTCTTTGGTAGCAGATGTCATACTTTGGTACTCTTGGCTCAGCTCTGCTGCCATGAGGTTAGGATTCTGGACTTTGATTTATGGACTTGAACTTCAGTTTCACCCCTGACTATTTGGCCTGACTTTGGAACTCTTGTGCTTTTGAACTTTAGTCTAAGAACCCTGATAAGAGAAACCAGGCATCTCTCTACTGGACTGCAACATGGGCTACTGTTTATCCTTGCTCCTGACCGGCTTTGTGAAACTGTTTTTTCCTTGAGTCTAATGCATCAAATCCAATGCGCACCTCTATTTCTAAAGCTCTGAAACCAACAAAAGTATTTGCTGCCAAATTTATAATGCACAGTGGCAAAAAGTGCCTTCTTTGCAATTTGGCCCCAAAAGGTGCACATCACAGTTGCTGCCTGATTAGAATTCCTTCCTTATAAACAAAAGTATTAGAACACCAAAGCTTTCAGCAATGGAAAGGAAAATCTTGGGTGCAACTATGCTGTTGATGAATCCACTTCAATTGTATTGGTTCAATGCTATGGAGTCATTGGAGATGTAGCTTGACAAGGTCTAGAGCCTTCTCTGCCAAAGAATGTGGATGACTCACCAAACTACAGATCCCAGGGTGGCATTGCACTGAGCCCTGGCCATTAAATTATAGATGAGGTCCATCAAAGAGGAGCTCCTGAAGCAGCTCCCCCTTTGGCTCCTCACTAAGATGATCACATAATGCAAATCTAATGCGTGCCCTAAATTTGGCAAAGTCATTTACCCCAAAAAAAGGTGAGCATTAGATTTGAGTCAATAAGGTATTTGTTTTGTCTGTATTAACTGGACTCTTGGCTTGAGTGCCTCGTGACTCTGGTTGTTTTACAATTCTTTTGTTGGCAGGACCTTTCAAATAGTCAAGGGTTTAGTTTTCCTTGTAAGTAAATATGGTCTTTGTTTATTTTGCATTTGCTGGAGTACACCCTTGCCCTTGATATTGAGAGATCCCTGAAACACGACAGCCATTCCACTTGTCTTTTGGGTAACGATGGCTGACCTTTTACCCTTCACCGGTTACAGAACTGAGGATCCTGGGGCAGAAAGGGACCCCAAAGGGCTATCTAGTCCCACCCCATTGTGCCATGCAGAGAAAGCCAATGCAAAATTGAGCACACAGACTCTTCCATGGATCTAATAAGAGAGCTTTGACCTTTTTGGAATCAAACCCCTTTGATTCTCTCGAGTACAGCCATAATATTTGTCGAAACCTATCTGCACTTCTTCACTTGTTACCAGAATCAGAAATGAATTGATCCATCTATACATAACTTGCCAACAACATTTCTTATAGCCTCGATGTAGCCTTGCTCTACTTTTCTAACCAACAAACTGAAGAAATGGATCACAGATCAAGAAGGGATCCCAAAGTGCCATCTAGTCTAATCCCAGTCCACTAAGGCCCCATCTACACTGCCATATAATCCAGTCTGAACTGCATTATAATGATCAGGGTAGACTCATATAATGCAGATTGAATTGGATTATACGAGTCTACACTGCTATACAATCCAGTTCTGTGCAGTTCATCTGCATTCTGAAACTGGGTTATATGGCAGTGTAGATGGGAGTCTAGCTTTTTAACCATCCAAACTTTTTCCTCCATCCAGAGTCCTTCACCTTCTTCCAAAAAGTCGTTTTTCTTATTTAAATAGGCCTCTCTCACTGGACATTACAGATCTTTTAATTAGGTTGTGCTATATTTTTATCACCTTGAAACCTATTAAAAAAGATAAAAATATAGCACAACCCACTTCTGGCTTATCAACAGTCTATGGCCTATTTAAATATGTTGAAATAGTATTAAATGCGGTCAGGAACTTTTAATTGTTGGATCGTCCCTTGTCTTTTTCACTGTGTTTTAATTTCAGGGCTTTTTTTTCAAATAAAAGTACAAAATTCACTTGCCAATGTGTCGATTTAATTTGCCTTCCTGATATTGAACAAAAACAGACCAAACCAAGGAAGAAATCTGGGTTGCTGTGAATTTTCTGGACTGTATGGCCATCTTCCAGAAGCATTCTCTTCTGACATTTCACTCACATCTTTGGCAGGCATCCTTAGAGGTTGTGAGGTTTGTTGGAAACTGGGCAAGTGAGGTTTATATATCTGTGGAATGGTGTCCAGGGTGGGAGAAAGAACTCTTGTTCGCTTGACGAAAAGGTGTGAATGTTGCCATTGGTCAGCTTTATTAGCATTGAATGGCCTTGCAGCTTCAAAGCATGGCTGCCTCCTACCTTGAGATTTCCTTTGTTGGGAGGTGTTAGTTGGCCCTCATTGTTTCCTGTCCGGAATTCTCCTGTATTTTGAGAGTTGCTCTTTATTTACTGTCCTGCTTTTAGAGGTTTTTTTTATTACTGGTAGCCAGATTTTGTCCATTTTCATGGTTTTCTCCCTTCTTTTGAAATTGTGGATTTCAGTGGCTTCTCTGTGTAGTTTGACATGGTAGTTGTGAGAATGATCCCGCATTTCTGTGTTCTCAAATAATATGCTGTGTCCAGGTTGCTTCATCAAGTGCTTTGCTATGTGAATTCCAGACAGAAAACAATCAGGGCCAGTTAATAACTCCCAGCAAAAGCTTCCCCCAGGCAGGAAGCAGCCAGGCTTTGAAGCTGCAAGGCCATTCAATGCTAATCAAGGTGGCTAATTGCAATGTTCACACTTGACTCCAGCAGACATGAGTTCTTTCTCACACCCTGGACATTCCACAGATATATAAACCCCACTTGCCTGGCTTCCAACAGACCTCACAACCTCTGAGGATGCCTGCCATAAATATGGGCGAAATGTCAGGAGAAAATGCATCTGGAACACGGTCATACAGCCCGTAAAATTCACAGTAACCCAGTGATTCCGGCCATGAAAGCCTTTGACAGCACAATTTCAGAGCTCTTTTTCAAACAAAAGCACACAACTCGCTTGCCAATTTGCTGTCCTGATATTGAAAAAAGTTAGAACAAACGAAGAAAGTAAGCCTGCATTCCCCAAAAAATGTTCAAATAGTAAAAGGAAGGAAGGAAAGTTATCATCTTCTTCCATCTTTTCCCAAAAATATTTTTCAAACAAAGAAAGAAAGAAAGAAAGAAAGAAAGAAAGAAAGAAAATAATGAGATTATCTTCTTCTTCAGTCTACTCCCCAAAAATAATTTTCAGAGGAAAGAACGAAGGAAGAAAGGGAGGAAGGAAGGAGATACTAAACACTGTAAACTACACAGCTGCAACCTGGAATTCAAGGATTAAGCCTCAATTCTGCAGAAATCCATTGTGAACCACAGTAGAAACTCAATATTTAATTGCTATAACTTTAACTGATTTCCGTGCTACATATATTACTACAAAAATAGTATATAAACGCTTCTTGGCAAAAGTATAGAAATGTTCACATCTTTTTTAAACGCTCTCCGTCATATGCATTTGTCTGCTTTGCGAACCCAAACTTTATTGCAAGAATTCAAAAGGTGCAATACAAATAGTAATACTATAATCTGTACATATACAGGAAAGGTATAAATATATTTTTTCAGGTTTTTCTAAACAAGCCAAGCACAGAATGAAATAGCACAAACGGCCCTTCAGAAGGAGGCCAAGCTTATATTTGGGTTCAAAGAGAGAAATCCAAAAATGAGAGAATGCAGGCTGGAATTGGATGGTTAATTGGAGCAAACTTTCCAAATTAACAGAGTCAAAATAAAATGATAGTTATCCTCTCCTTTGGAGGACTACAGAACAAACCCCCCAAAACGAGCCAATATACTAAAAAGGATAACCGAGATAAATCACTTTCTGCTGAGGTTTCCCAAATGTGGGCATCTATCTTTACTGGCATATAAAAGGAGTTTGTGCCCACATAAATCACATTTCTCAGTGGCATAAAGGGCCATTCTCTTGCCTTGCACTCTGTCCAAAACGTCCCAATGTCCAGCAAGTATCAAGCCCAAGAAGTGACCACTGCTGCTGTCCCTTCTTGGTGGAGACTGGGAGAAATGGGGAGGCAATTTAGACCATGACATTGGAGCTGCTCTGGGCTCTAAATGGAAGGAAATAGCAGGAGGCCTGATATCTGCAAGGAGAGATGAGTAATAATGATAATTGAGAACAATCATTGAAATATTTTAAAATAAAATGCTCTTCTTCTTCTCCTTCTCCTCCTTCTTCCAGACCTCATTTTGTCTCCCTTGAGACAATCCATTCAATGCTGTTCAAATGGCCTTCACTTTTGTTGCCTCCCCATGGGCCTTCTTTTTGGAGAGAGGCTTTATTTTCACAGCTTCCAGCTGGAAAAAAGCTGCTTTGAGTCTTGTTCAGAAGGAAAAAGCAGCATATAAGAAGGATGAGAAGAAGAAAGGAGAAGGGGAGGAAGGAAGAGAAGGAGGTAGAAGAGGAGGAAAAGGAGGAATAAGAGGAGCAGGAAGAAAAGGAAAAGAAGGAGGAGGAAGAGGTGAAGGAAGAAGAGGAAAATAAGGAAGGAGGAAGAGAAAGAGGAAAAGGAGGAAGAAGAAGAGAAGGAGGAAGAGAAGAAGAGGAAGAAGAAGAGGAAAAGGAGAAGGAAAAAAGGAGAAGGAGGAGGAAGAAGAGGAGAAGAGGAGAAGGAAGAAGAAGAGGTAGAGGGAAAGAAGGAGGAGGAAGATGAGATGGAGGAAGAGAAGGAGAGGAGGAGAATGAGAAAAAGAAGGAGGAAGAAAAGAAAAAGGAGAAGAAGAGGAGAAATGGAAGAAGAAGAGAAGAAGAGGAAAAGAAGGAGGAAGAAGAGAAGGAGGAAGAGAAGTAGAAGAAGAGAAGGGGAACGAGGAAGAAGAGAAGGACAAAGAGGAAAAGTAGAAGGAAAAAAAGGAGCAGGAGAAAAGGAGAAGAAGAGGGAAAGAATAAATAAGTAAATATGTGAGTCAAACTCTTATGGGGCTATGCATGGATGTACAATCTCAGCCCTTTCAGGTACAACCACGAGACACAACTTCCAAACTATGACAGATTCGGTCTTATTTTCACATATTTATATTTGGGCGAACCAGAAGAATGATGTGGCCACACTGACGGAGGAGAGGAAACCTTACGGCACAGGAAGGCATGTGCCATAAAACTCCACTGGTGCAATAAGTAATAACAAATTATAATGGGATAACGGTGCATCCAGATACCAAACCTTATCCAGAAGAGAGACCTGCTTCAAATTCCTTGAACGCTGGCACTGAACATGGGTTGCATGAAACGAGGCCTTTAATAATGGCAACAATGGCAACAACTATGCTCTCATGGGAGAAAATTCTACTTACTATAAACCTTTTAAACTCCTGTTGGAAACCCATTCCCAACAATGAGGCCCACAGTTTCTAGAAGAGTCACCCAGAGCCACAAAATGCCCTGCAATCTTGGCTTTATGGGATTTGGAGGGGCCTGTTGTCCAAAGTAAAGCTTCACTGAGGTAGCCAAGAGTGAGGAGAAGTGGCGGGTTTATGGAAGAGTCATTGAAGCCGCGATGAAGTCGGAAACATCCGGAGACACCCAGCTTAAATGTCTTCTCTGTGCAGGAGTTAAAAGAGAGCAGAGAGTTAGTTAGGATAACAGAGAAAGATGGACGGCACTACACTTTCAATAAAAAAAGGAAATGCACAGATATAGATTGGGCGAGTCATGACCTGGAAAAACTTTATGTGGAAGAGGTCTCTTTCAGTTCCAGGATTCTAAAGCAATTGTTGACACACAGGGACTCTGCCTCCTACCCTTTACTATGCAATTTGTTATAGAATGAATTCTGATACAGGGAAATATAAAATGTGTACATTTAGACACCTAGAAGGCAGGAGATCTTGAAAAATGGAGGAGTGCTGGAGGCGAGCAATGTACTTACTGTGCTATGAAGAAAGTGGCCAACTTCTTTTGCCCAAAAACACCTGAAGGGAAAGGAAGCGGTTAGGAGAGGCACCTCCCAAGACAACGGAGAGTGTCCTTGTCTTACAATGAATATCAATCTCAAGTGGAGTTTGCCAGAGTTTGAGCCACTTACTTCTGCAGGTTCTCCTTGATGATATTAATGATAATGATGCCGATGGAGGGGAGGTTCCTATTCTTGGATGCGAGGAAGAGGTAGAGCAGTTTGCAGACGTACCAAGGGCCCAACTGATGGCACCTGAGCAGGACGAGAAGAAAAGCAAGGCTTGAAAGCAAATGCGAGGCCTACAGAGAGTGGCCTCAAAGTTGTAGCAAAGCTTTTTGCAATGAGATCGGCCTATAATTCAGATTTCAAGCTCCTTTTGGAATCAGAGTGACCATGGCACTTTCCTGCAACTCTGGTATCTTGTTTGTATTCACTATTGGGTTGAATACACCTTGCACAGATTCTTTTAAGTTCCTCCTAAAATTTCTTAAGAGCAAAATGTTGGAAAACCGTCTGGTCCCGGGGCTTCATTTGGTTTAGATTTCTTTATGGCTTTTGGAATTTCACCCATGGTTATTGGCACAGTCATTTGTTTTTCTTCTTCTGTTAATCTTGGGAGTCGACATTCTTTTATTGCTTGAGTTTGTATAAAGGGTGGTATCATATTTGGGGAATATTTAATTATACTTTGCAATCCGTTATTTATCTTTCATCCCTGTATTGGTTCTTTTAACCTTTTCTTTATTAAATTGTGAATTTTGTAACACTGTTTATATTGAATTCTGTTTTAATGTTTGTATATTTGTGCATTTTAAATTGTGTGCTAATGTTTTTATGTCCCCTTCAGAAAAAAAACAAAGCAGGGTAGAAGTAAATATAACAACAACAACAACAACAACAACAACAACAACAAGTTTATATGCCGGCCATTTAAAAGTCGGTCACTGTCTAAACACTTCTTGGCATCCTGCAATCGCAGGGCTTTTGTGGTTTCACCCAAAGTCCCAAACAGTATGGGGAAAGAAGAGAGGTTTACATTGTTCCCGCAAGACTGTCTAGGGCACGACAGGCAACTCTCATAGTGTTTGCAAAGCTTCAAAAGCAAGGATAGACAAGGAGGTTATGGGGCCCTTTAGGAGAACTTGGAAGGCCACACTTACCCTGCAATCTCACTGGAAAAGTAAATTATGACCAATGGCCCCTCAGTTGGGATGCATTGATATATCAAACATCCCAGGTATCCTGTCCATAATTTGTGGGTCAAGATCATCACTTTGGATTGAATTCGGAAGCAAAAGTAATCCAATGCAATTATTTTTTAAGATTGGTGCTACAACATTCTGATGTATTTGCATTTCATTTATTTTTATCTGGGATAGCGACAGTTACAGGCAAACTGTGTAGCTCCAAGGCATCTGAACCTTCTAGACTAGAGCTTCCCAAACCTTTCACATTAGTGACACACTTTATAGCAGGTATGGGCCAATTTTAGCCCTCCACCCGGAGGGCCCAAGTTTGCACATGCTTGCTTTAAAGGCATGCATCCTTTTCGCGACACAGTCATTCAGCAAACTGGGAGAAGGAACCAACCCTTTAGAAGAAATTCAGACACATGCAACATATTTCACAAAATTTTTGAAGCTACAGTAAATAATGTATTGCTTATATATTCAATGGCTTCTTGTGACATTTGTGCGACACACCAATGTGCTGTGACTCTCAGGGCCCTTCCACACTGCCTCTTTATCCCAGGATCTGATCTCAGATTATCTGTTTATCCCAGGTTATCTGGCAGTGGGGACTTATATATTCCAGTTTAAAGCAGATAATCTGGGATTGGATCCTGGGATAAAGGACAGTGTGGAAGGGCCCATAGTTTGGAGCACTCTGTTCTAGTCTTCCAGGAGGAACAACTTTCCAAAGAGGTTGCAAACCCTCCCAAAATAACAAAATATCCCCTTTTCTCAAAAGTGGGGATTCTCTAACTTTTGTTTGAGAGTACTTTGGGCATTCGATGTGGCTCAAATCACTCTGCACCATTGTCACTTGCTAGATTTGAGGAACAATGAAAATGAGGCAGGGCCACTTACAAGGCCAGCATTTCCGCTTTCCGGCTTTGGAGGTCGGTGATGGTCAGGCCGACGATGGTGCAGACGGGCTTTTTGTGGAAAGCCAAGGAGTCCAGAAGCAGCTGCAGGGCCCAGAGGTTTTCCTGTGGAAAGGGAGGAAAGAGGAATCCACACTAGAATGGTGCTCAATGGTGGCACATGACGCCATCAACAACTGAATGGTGTATTGTCGAAGGCTTTCATGGCCGGAATCACTGGGTTGTTGTAGGTTTTTTCGGGCTATATGGCCATGTTCTACAGGCATTATTTCATGACATTTCGCCTGCATCTATGGCAAGCATCCAACAGACCTCACTACCTCTGAGGATGCTTGCCATAGATGCAGGCGAAACGTCAGGAGAGAATGCCTCTAGACCAGGGGTAGGGAACCTTTGGCCCTCCAGCTGTGGTGGACTTCAACTCCCACAATTCCTTGAGGCTCGGCATTGGGCCAAGGTAAGCCTTTGGGGCGAATGCCGAGCCTCAAGGAATTGTGGGAGTTGAAGTCCACCACAGCTGGAGGGCCAAAGGTTCCCTACCCCTGCTCTAGACCATGTCCACCATAACAATACCATTACCAAATTCGCAGATGAAACAACCACAGTGAAGTCAAGATGGCGCAATGGCTTAAACCTTGTGCTGCTGAACTGCTGACCTGAAGGTTGGCAATTCGAATCTGCAGGACAGGATAAGCTACCGCTATTAGCACTAGCTCCTGCAAACCTAGCAGTTCAAAACCAAGCAAATGTGAGTAAATCAATAGGTACCGCTTTGGCAGAGAACAGCAAAAAGACACTCCAAGCACTCATGCCAGCCACACGACCAGGAGGCTTCTCAGCTTGGAAATGGATAAAGAGCACCTCCCCCAGAGTCGGAGATGAGCCCTGCCTCCACAGCCGGAAATGAAAGTAGAAGCCTTTGACTTTGTCTGTGCATTTGTGTCTTATTGTATGTCATGTACTAAGGCACTGAATGTTTGCCTGTGTCTGTTTATATACTGTAATCCACTCTGAGTCCCTTCGGAGAGAAGGGCAGAATATAAATAAAGTGTTGTTGTTATTATTATTATTATTATTATTATTATTATTATTATCTCTGAAGGGGATGAGTCTGCTGATCGAGATGAGGGGGATCAGCTGCTCTCGTGGTGCAGGGACAATAATCTGGTTCTTAACATCAATAAGACCAAGGAGCTCATAATGGACTATAGGGAGAACAGACCAGAAATCCAACCCTTGGTCATAGAATCCTAGAGTTGGAAGAGACTTTGTGGGCCATCCAGTCCAACCCCATTCTACCAAGAAGCAGGAAAACTGCATTCAAAGCACCCCCAACAGATGACCACCCAGCCTCTGTTTAAAAGCCTCCAGAGAAGGAGCCTTCACCACACTCCTGGGCAGAGAGTTCCACTGATGAACAGCTCTCATAGTTAGGAAGTTCTTCCTAATGTTCAAGTGGAATCTCCTTTCCTGTAGTTTGAAGCCATTGTTTCATGTCCTAGTCTCCAGGGAAGCTGAAAACAAGCCAGCTCTCCCCTCCTTATGACTTCCCCTCACATCTTGATACGTGGCCCTCATTATATCTCCTCTCAGCCTTCTCTTCTGCAGGCTAAACACGTCCAGCTCTTTAAGCCGCTCCTCATAGGGCTTGTTCTCCAGACCCTTTTTTATTTGAGTCGCCCTCCTCTGGACACATTCCAGGTTGTCAACATCTCCCTTCATTTGTGTTGCCCAGAATTGGACACAGTGGCAGCATTGGTTAAGAAGACCCAGCAGAGACTGTACTACCTGACACTTCTAAGGAACCAATAACTGAACCAAAAAGTGCTGGTGACTTTCTACCACTGCGCTATACAAAGTGTCCTGACCTACTGCATCTGCGCATGGCTTGGTAATTGCAGAGCAGCAGATAGGAAGGTGCTTTAAAGGGTTACCATTTCTGCCCAAAGAATCATGGGTTGCCCTCTTTCTTCCCTCTTCCAAAGAACTTTATAGGCCCTGAAGCCTAAAGAAAGCTCAGAACATTCTTGGGGCTCCAGCTCACCCAGCATATCCTTTTTTTCTGAACTATTAACATCAGGCAGATGGTACAGGGTGACAAAGACAAGGACAAACAGACGGAGAGACAGCTTTTATCCTAGAGCTGTAACTATATTGAACTCCATGGCTTTGCATTGATGTGGCAAGGGGTTCTGTGCGGTGGTGGTGGGAGTGCAAAGGGATGGGTGTGTTGTTTTGTGATGTGTGCTGGGAAAAGCATTTAATTTCATTGTACAATGACAATAAAATTATTCTATTCTGAAATCTATTTAATTATGAAATTTATAGCTTGCCATTCTCCCAAAAAGGACTTGAAGCGGCTTACAGATACAAGTTATAACAACTTACAATGCGGAGTGCAAAAACAAACAACATTAAACCCTCTGTTGAATTAAAACAGTACTTCTATTCTGAGGTGCCAACATATTTCAAAAGACTTATCTGTTGCAGCTAGCAAAAAATGCATATTCTAATCTTCTGCTTAACAAGTCAGTGTGAGTTACTTAAAATATGTTTTAACATGTGTATGTTACATAACATTTTATGATGGAAGTGTTTTCATTATGTGGTGCCCTGTCTCGAGCCATGAGGAGAGGCAGGAAAGAAATAATAATAATAATAATAATAATAACAATAATAATAATAATAATAATAATATTCAGGACTCCACTGAACTGGCCACATTGTCTGAATGTCCGATCACCGTCTCACAAAGCTCTACTCCGAACTCAAAAACGGAAAACGGAATGTTGGTGGACAGGAAAAGAGGTTTAAAGATTAGCTTAAAGCCAACCTCAAAAACTGTGGCATAGACACCGAGAACTGGGAAGCCCTGGCCCTTGAGCGCTATAACTGGAGGTCAGCTGTGACCAGCAGTGCTGCAGAATTCGAAGAGGCACGAACGGAGGGTGAAAGGGAGAAACGTGCCAAGAGGAAGGCACGTCAAGCCAACCCTGACTGGGACCGCCTTCCGTCTGGAAACCGATGTCCTCACTGTGGGAGAAAATGCAGATCAAGAATAGGGCTCCACAGCCACCTATGGACCCACCGCCAGGACATCACATTTGGAAGACAATCATCTTTGAGCTACGAGGGATTGCTTATGTAAAGTAAAGATGGGAACATGAGACATGCCTCCCTGCAGGATCATAACACATCCGGGCGTCCTCTGGGCAACGTCTTTGTAGACGACTGATTCTCTCACACCAGAAGTGACTTACAGTATGCAACCAACCACCCTCAATTCACTTCAGACTTGATAAATACATTATTAAGAAGACTCCACCTGAACCTCTGGAAGAACTTCCTGACTGCAAGAAGAGCTGTTCAATAGTGGAACTCTCTGCCTCAGAGTCTGTTGGAAGCTCCTTCCTTGGAGACTTTAAACAGATGCTGGATAGCCATCTGTTGGGAGTATTTTGATTGTGATTTTCCTGCATGGAAGAAGGGGGTTGGACTGGATGGCCTATGTGGTCTCTTCCAACTCTATTATTCTATGATTCTACCAGCATCATCTCCAGATTAGAGAAGTTAATGAAGCAATTTGTAACCTTAGCAAATGATTTTTTAATCTTCATTTCCATCTTTTTTATTGTGAAAACAAATCATTTGCTAAAGATTAAACAAAACCCTTTATTTCATTTATTACCGGCCTTTCCTTATGGCTTGCTTTGAATTGTTCTCATATCAGCAGTCGTTGAAGTTGTTTCGAAGAACCCACAATTGTTGTATGGATGATGCAGAATATATATCTTCTTAAAGTGGAGTATCTTACCCCAAAAGCCAAGACGATGTCCAGGAAGGAGGTCAGGGAATGATGTTCGCGCAAAACCATCTGCCGCACCGCCTGGACCATGAAGATGAGCCCTGCCTCCATGTGGGTCTAGGAAAGAAAAAAGGAGGCCGTGTTTAATTTAAACACCATAGATTAAATTGATTCAAACTGTTTGTCTGGATTAAAAACACGCATGTGAGTTAAGCAAATACCATTTTAATGACTTGAAAGTTCCACAGATCTCTCCCTCGGAGGTGAATGTAATAAGGGCGGGTAATAAACAAACAAACAAACAACAACAACACGTGTGGCTTTGGACCAATATTTTACTTTCACCAATTAAGAGGAAGGTGAATTGAGGCACCCAATACAACAACAACAGCAATAATAATTGGGGCAAACAAAACCCCTGGCTTCACTATTACCTCAATTTTTTAAGATATGTGGAATTATTATTATCATTATTATTATTATTATTATTATTATTATTATTATTATTATTGGGGCACCCAAAATCCCCAGTTTCACCACTGCCTCAAACCTTGAGGATATGTGGATAAATAGTAGCAATAATAATAATAATAATAATAATAATAATAATAATAATAATCTCTAAAATCAGGACAGTAAATAAAGAATAACACTCTGAAAGCAGGAAAATTCCAGACATGAAACTGTCAGGGCCAGCTAATACCTGCCAACAAAGGATTCCCCCAGGCAGGAATCAGTCAGGCCTTGAAGCTGTAAGGCCACTAAATGCTAATCAAGGTGATTAATTACAACACTCACACTTGCCTCCAACAAACAAGAGTTCTTTCTTCCACCCTGGATCTTCCACAGATAAATAAACCTCCCTTGCTTAGTTTCCAATGTACCATACAAACTCTGAAGATGCCTGCCATAGATGTGGGCGAAACATCAGGAGAGAATGCTTCTGCAACATGGTCAGACAGCCCGGAAAACTCACAGCAACCCAATAGTAACAACAACAACAACAACAATACAACAGCCAACATAGTGATCTTGTTTGTTGTGTACTAATCTTGTTGTTTCAAATAATAATAATAATAATAATAATAATAATAATAATAATAATAATAAGTGCAGCCTTGGACCAATATTTTGCTTTCTCTGAGTAAGAGAGAGATTAACTGAGACATCCAAAAGCCCTGGTTTGACCACTGCCTCAAACCTTGAGGATACGAGGTTAAGAAATAATGATAATAATAATGATAATAATAATAATGGTAGCTTTGAGTAATATTTGTTTTCATCGATTAGGAAGGAGATGAATTAAAGCACACAAAGCCCTGGTTTCACCGTTGAGCTCCATCCCTTCCCCAAAAGCTAATCTCCGAACTAATCTTGCCGAATTCATTTTGCAAATGTATGCAGATTTATTCAACTAATACCCGAAATCATACCATTAATTGACCCGACCGCTCCTAAGCCCACACAGTGGTGTCCTTATCCCATGCCCTGACAGCTGTCGCGGAATATTTGTAAAAAAAATATTGTACGCCAAGCCTAGAAGACCATACGTTCCCTGCAAACACCAGTAATTGTGTGTTGTTTTCACTAAAGGATGATTGGAGATTAAATCATCAGGAGACTGAAATGAAAGAGGAACATAGTGCACATTTATACTAATTGAATTCCCCAGAAATTTTGGGAAATAGGTCAAGATAAACCACAGTTTGCTCACATCAGATCTCTCTCCTATTACACTTTGCAATCTAATGCCAGGTGGCAGTAACAGCTTTTAGTCTATAAATCCAAAGAGTGACGTTTGTGCAAAAATGGTGGATTTTGTTCCATGCCAAGGAGAGAATGAAAGCATCAACCATTAAGAAAGGCTGATCAAACTGCCACTTACTATACAGCTCAGTTTGATCTTTGACAACAGAAGCCAAAACATTTGTTAAATGCATGTGTGTGTGTGTGTGGCACGATAAATAAATAAAAAAGGTGGAAGGGATCCCAAAGGCCATCAAGTCCAACCCTGTTCTGTCACGTAGGAAGGTAGAATTTACTACATTATTATCCATTATCTATTATTATTATACTCATATAGTTGGAAAAAAACCCAAAGGCCACCCAGTGCAACCCCCTTCCTTCAGACAGGAAGGTAGAATTACTATATTATTATCCATTATTATTATTATTATTATTATTATTATTATTATTATTATTATTCTCATATAGTTGGAAGGGACCACAAAGGCCACCCAGTGCAACCCCCTTCTGCCAGAAAGGAAGTTAGAATTATTATATTATTATCCATTATTATTATTATTATTATTATTATTATTATTATTATTACTATCTATTATTATTATTCTCATATAGTTGGAAGGGACCCCCAAAGACCATCTAGTCCAACGCCCTTCTGCCAGAAAGGAAGGTAGAATATTATTATTATTATTATTACTATTATTATACTCATATAGTTGGAGCCCCTGGCAGGGTTAAACCGCTGAGCAGCTGAACTTGCTGACCAAAAGGTCAGCGGTTTGAATCCGGGGAGTGGGGTGAGCTCCTGCTGTTAGCCCCAGCTTCTGCCATCGTAGCAGTTTGAAAACATGCAAATGTGAGTAGATTAATAGGTACCACTTCGGCAGGAAGGTAATGGCACTCCATGCAGTCATGCTGGCCACATGACCTAGGAGGCATCTATGGACAATGTCGGCTCTTCAGCTTAGAAATGGAGATGAGCACCACCCCCAGAGTCGGACATTAGACTAAACCTTTACCTACTTTACTCATATAGTTGGAAGAGACTCCAAAGGCCATCCAGTCCAACCTCATTCTTCCAGGAAAGAAAAGCACAATCGAAGCCCTCACGACAAGATGGCCATCCAGCCTCTACTTAATAATAATAATAATAATAATAATAGAATCCTAGAGTTGGAAAGAAACCCCAAAGGCCCATCCAGTCCAACCTCATTCTACCTGTCAAGAAAAGTACAATCCAATCCCTCTTGATAGATAGCCATCCAGCCTGTGCTTAAAAGCCTCCACTGGACTCTGAGGCAGAGAGTTTCACTGTTGAACAGCTCTTAAAGTCAAGAAGTTCTTCCTAATGTTGAGGTGGAATATCTTTTCCTGTAACTGGAACTTATGGCCTCCTTGGGCCTTACTCTCTGAAAAGGGTATCCTGAGGATATAGAGCAGGCATGGGCAAACTTCAGCCTGGTAGGCTTTTAGGAATTGTGGGAGTTGAAGTTCAAAACATGCCTGATACAAAGGCATTAGGAAGGAAGCTCTTACCTCCAGGCTGAAGGCTTTGGAGAGGCAGATGTTATAGTTGGTTTGGGTGGCGAGTTTATCCATGATGTGGCAAGATTCCCTGAAGACCATCTGTAAAGGAAGAAAGTGGCATCCAAATAACACTTTTAACTAGATTAAACTCTCAGAACCAATTCGCAAATGGAACATCAATGCAATCAGAGCAATGGCTTGAGGGCGGGACCAGATTGGGGTTGGAATCTCACTTCCATCCTGCCATAAAAGCCATTTATGAAGTGTGATAGTAAGATGTCATATGGAATACAGATGGGTTCGGGATCTGTAACTCTAGGTTATGAATCCAGAAGAGTAATACAGAATGCCAGATTGACCAGATGCTCCCCAGTGAGGGACTGCAATTCCCATCGCCCAAGCTTCGGACATTCCCAGCAAACACGGTCTGCTTAAGTTCAGGCAAGTATCTCCATGCATAAGGAATATAAAAGTTTTAAAGGCTGAATGAGGACCTAATTATATATTCAGATTTGGAACACTGGCGCTCGTCCCTTCTTCTCTGCTTGTTTACCTGCTGGAAATCCGGAGGCGGCTCCTTCACAACGAGGGGGACAAAGCACCCGTCTTTTCCCAAAAGGGAGTAGCTGCTAAAGGCCTTGATCACAGCGCTCCAGCATCGGGGCTGAAACACAAAAGATGGACCACTCAGTTGGGTTACTGGAACCGAATGCCAATTTACCGGTCACACCAGTTGCAAATACTCAGGACTACCAGTATTTGTTAGAGCCTTGATGTGAATTTACCTCACATTTTCCCTAAGTAATTGAACAAGGGATACATGATCCTCCCATTTTTGGATTTCTGAGCGAGAAGAAATCTACTTTATGGAAGATGACCATAATAAAGTCCTGCTGGAGGATCTAGAGCAGGTATGGGCAAACCCAGGCCCAAGGCTTTTTTCTCAGGCCCTTCTATCTCTCATCATTCTATCCTTCCTTTTTTGTCTCTTTCCTTCTCCCTTCCCTCTCTCTTTCTCCTTCCCTTCCACCCTTTCGTCCTTCTGGGCATGTTTAGCTTGAAGAAGAGAAGGCTGAGAGGAGACATGATAGCCATGCATAAATATGTGAGAGGAAGTCACAAGGAGGAGGGAGCAAACTTGTTTTCTGCTGCCCTGGAGACTAGGACAGGGAACAATGGCTTCAAACTTCAAGAAAGGAGATTCCATCTGAACATTAGGAAGAACTTCCTGACTGTGAGAGCTGTTCAGCAGTGGAACTCTCTGCTCCGGAGTGTGGTAGAGGCTCCTCTTTGGAAGCTTTCAAACAGAGGCTGGATGGCCATCTGTGGGGGTGCTTTGAATGCAATTTTCCTGCTTCTTGGCAGGGGTTGGACTGGATGGCCCATGAGGTCTCTTCCAACTCTATGATTCTATTCCTTCCTTCCTCCTTCCCTCTCTCCCTCCCTTCCTGACCTCCCTCTTTCTCCCTCCTTCCTTCCTTCCACCCTTTCATCCTTCCTTCCTCACTTTCCTTCCCCCTTCCCTCCCTCCCTTTTCCTTCCCTCTTTCTCCTCCTTCCTCCCTTCCTTTTTTTCCTTCCTTCCCCTCTCTTTTTCCTTCCCTTTTCTTTCCTTCCTTTTCTCTTTCCTTTATCCTTCCCTTCCTCCTTCCTCTCTCTTTCCTTCTTCCTTCCCTTTCCCTCTTTCTCCTTCCTTTTTTGTCTTTTTCCTTCCTCTTTTCCTCCCTCCTTCCCCTCTCTCTCCTTCATCCTTTCCCTCTCTTTCATCTTCCTTCCTTCTTTCTTTCCTTCCTCCTTCCCTTCCTTCCTTCCTTCTATCACTGGGAAGCCGGTCCTCCTAGCAGGGAGTGCTAGCATGCGGCCCCCCTAGTCAGAAGGTTTGCCCAGTTCTGGGAATAATCACAGTCAACTTGCAAATGTGGAGGGCCGGCTTGATATCTTGGGATACCATAGTGTGTTGTCATGGCAGTTAGAGTGGGCTCACAGTGCTGTAATTGTGATGGGAAGGGAGCTAACCTCTCTGAGAACAGGGCCCTTCTATTATTATTATTATTATTATTATTATTATTATTATTATTATTATTATTATTAATAATAATAATAATAATAATGGTTTCCTACAGACCTCACAACCTCAGAGGATGCCTCCCATAGATGTGGGCGAAACATTTTCACAACAAGCCAGATTTTCCAAAATCCAATGATCACAAGGATAGAAAGTGAGGTCAAATCCTCCAAACAGCACAGGCAGAAATGCAAACACCACAGTGGTGTTAACCCTTCCCTATGCTATCAAAAGCTAATGTGTGTGTGTAGATAGATAGGCTGGACTTACACACAGATTCAACTTACGAACAAACCTACAGAACCTATCTTGTTTGTAACTTGGGGACTGTCTGCGTTAACCATTGCAAGGAAACAAACACTTACGTTCCGATACAGGGACAGGTTGCAGTAGAGCATCTTGATGATCTGCTTGATCAGAAATTGAGGCTTCAGAGGGCCTCCTGTAGAAAGAGGAAAAAAGGGAGTCAAACCAAAGGGTTGTCTGAATACAAGGATGGGCAGACGCCAGGCTACGGCAGAGGGATACTTTCCCAAATTGGCCCACTGGAGTGCCTCCATCTTTTCCCCCAAAGGAATATATCCAGTGCGGAAGGCCTTCAGGAGGACTTCGAATTGGCTTGGGGTGAGGCGGCAAGCCATGCAGCAGGATTTGGAGAAGGAGGAGAAGAGGGCCAGGGCCCCGCCAGCAATGTCTCCACTTTTGCACAAGTAGAAAGGGATCTGGTCTCTCTGCTGTTGCAGCCTGGAATGGGACACAGTGGGAGAAAGTACATTGATGCAAAAGAGAGGAACTCTTTCATTGTGGCACAAATGTTCTCCAACAACAGACCACATCATTGGTAAGCATCGGTATAGGGAAAAGGTAGCAAAGTTCATTTTTTTCCCTGGAACAATCACTTTTTTAATATTATAAATCAGGCATGGGCAAAGTTTGGCCCTCCAGGTGTTTTGGACTTCAACTCCCACCATTCCTAACAGCCGGTAGGCTGTTAGGAATGGTGGGAGTTGAAGTCCAAAACACCTGGAGGGCCAAACTTTGCCCATGCCTGATCTACACTATCCCATTTTGGGGTGGTAATAATAATAATAATAATAATAATTATTATTATTATTATTATTATTATTTCACACTTCAAGGGGAAAAGTCCTGGAGCCTTGACATCTTGACTCTAAGGCAACTCTTATGAAAAGTCCAATCATAACCAGAAGAAGCAAAGAGTCACTGCTGAGAATCCCGGTCCCAGGGATTTCTCTCTTACTATTTTCCTGTTTAAATGTTTAATACCAAAGTTTCATCAACAGGTCAGATCAAAATCAAACAATAATCTCTTGACAGATAAAAGCACTCCCAAATCACTCACCACTGGAAATCGTAGCAATCCACCACTTTCAAATAACGGACCAGCTCTTTGTATCTGAGGAAGGAGATGAAGCAATTAAGGCACAGACGGGCAAAGATGGTTGGAACTCAATCACATCTGGCACAAGTTTGTAGTCCTCATTGAGGACTTAGATGGGAGAATGAGTGAGTTGGCAGGGAAGGCCTTCCCCTGGCCTCTCTGTCTCTCTCCTTGTATTTCTTCGTTTGTTAGACTGATACTTCTCAGGGACATACATCATTTTTATGGAGCACATGGGAAGACTCCGAGTCCTCCATTTTGTTCTTCTGTGAGCATGGATGTCTGCTGTGTTAGTTAGATAGCTAGGTCCTGTGTTAACTTTCCTATCTAGTTATGTAGTTCTTTGAATAAAGTCTTCAACAACATTTTAAACTTGACGCTGCTCCTGAACTGCTGAAGCTCAATGGTTCTACTGCTGGCACTAGATACTTCTGATCTGCTGAACTACTGCTAATGCTGTTATTGCTGTTTTTTCCTTTTTGACGGCTTTTTCTTTTTTGGAAATTACAACCCACTCCACCACCCCCCCCCCCCCCCACACACACACACAAAGGTTAGCTTTGGGTCCAATTCAGGAGGGATGCCAGAAACCTCCAAAGAGAGACTACCGGACAGCGACCTATGGACTTACCGAAGTTGGCTCTCCATTCTCTCTATCCGTGCRTTCACCACAGGAACTACCTCGGAAAGGGTTATCTTCTTCTCATGCTCCAATTGGTGGTCAGTGACGTTTTGTCCTTTCAAAACTGAAGTCAACAAGGTGTCGTCCCAAGTGAGAAAATCCAGACTGGAAGGGAAAAAACCAAGAGGATCAGAGATGGCAAAAAGCAAAGTAAATGCCACGTTTTCTCATCGCCTGAACCACAGGCAAGTTGGTTAGTTAGGTAGTCCGAACACATCTCCCCTTACGAACTATCGAGGACCCTGAGATCATATGGGGAGGCCCTGCTCTAGGTCCCCCCTTCGACACAAGCACGTCTGGCAGGGACAAGAGACAAGGCCTTCTCAGTGGTGCCCCCTTGGCTATGGAACACCATCCCTAGGGAGATCGGATTGGCTCCATCCCTACTAACGTTTCGAAGGCAAGTTAAAGCATGGTTGTTTGAGCAAGCGTTCACAAATGCAGAATAAACGACATAGGAAATTGAATGACTTGACGATGGAATTGGACAATGCTTGATAATAAGGAGACGCTAATGATGTTGTTATTATTATCATTGTTTTATACTGTTTTAATGTTTTAACTTGTTTTATGATATTATTTGTACTGTTTTGTTGGAAACCGCCTTGAGTCGCCGATTGGCTGAGAAAGGCAGTATACAAATACAGTAAATAAATAAATAAATAAATAAATAAAAAGAATAATAATGTCTGCGACAAAGAACTGGTGGGATCACAAGCCGGAAAAAGTTACAGAAAATGAACACGTCAAACTACTCTGGGACTTCCGAATTCAGACAGAGTTTTGGAGCACAATACTCCTGACCTCACGATCCTGTTAAAAATCAAAGTATGGATTGTCAATGTTGCAATCCCAGGTGACAGCAGGTTTGAAGAGAAACAACTGGAAAAGCTGACACGATATGAGATTTTAAAGATCGAACTGCAAAGACTCTGGCACAAGCCAGTCAAGGTGGTCCCAGTGGTGATCGGCACACTGGGTGCAGAGCCTAAAGACCTTGGCCTGCACTTAAACACAATCGGTGCTGACAAAATTACCATCTGCCAGCTGCAAAAGGCCACCCTACTGGGATCTGCACATATTATTCGCCGATACATCACACAGTCCTAGACACTTGGGAAGTGTTCGACGTGTGATTTAGTAAAATAGCCAGCAGAGTTATCATGTTTGCTGTGGGCTCATCTTGTTGTGTTTCAAATAATAATAATAATAATAATAATAATAATAATAATAATAATAAGCCTATGGCATGCATCACCTTGACAGTATTCTCTTTCAAGATTTTAAACAGTTAATCTGGGATCCCGTCGTCTCCTGCTGCCTTATTATTAGCAATGTTTCTTAAGGCCCATTCAACCTCACTCCTCAGGATGTCTGGTTCTAATTCACTCATCACACCGTCAAAGCTATCATCAATATTATTATCCTTCCTATACAGATATTCTGTATAGTATCATGATCTTCTCTTGGTCTCTTCAGCTTCTGTTAGGTCCTTGCCATCTTTGTTTTTGATCATACTCATTTTTGCCTGAAATTTACCTCCGATGTTTATAATTTTCTGGAAGAGGTCTCTTGTCCTTCCTACTCTATTGTCCTCTTCCACTTCCATGCATTGTTTGTTTAAAAATAGTTCCTTATCTCTTCTGGCTAACCTCTGGAATTGTGCATTTAATTGGGCATATCTCTCCCTATCACTATTTCCTTTTGCTTTCCTTCTTTCTTGGGCTACTTCCACTGTCCCGGCAGAGAACCATCTTGCCTTCTTGGTTTTCTTTTTCTTTGGGACATACTTTGTTGCCACCCCCTGAACAATGTTGCAAATTTCTGTCCATATTTCTACTAGTACTCTATTTATTAAATCCAGTCCCTTAAATCTATTATTCACCTCCACTGCATATTCACTAGGAATATCTGTGAGATCATATCTAAGTGGTCTGTGTGTTTTCCCTATTCTCTTTAGTCTGTCTCTAAATTGTGCAATAAGAAGTTTGTAATCTGAACTACAGCCAGCTCCAGGTCTTGTTTTCACAGACCGGATGGATGTCCGCCATCTTTGGCTGCAAAGGATGTAGTCAATCTGATTTCGGTGTTGACCACCTGGTGAAGTCCAGGTATATAGCCGTCTTTTCGGTTGTTGGAAGAGAGTGTTTGTTATGCAGAGCAAGTTTTCCTGGCAAAATTCTATCAGCCTATGCCCCGCTTCGTTTTGTGTCCCAAACCATGCTTGCCTTTGATCCCAGCTGTCATTTGACTACCCACCTTAGCATTCCAGTCTACTATGATGAAAATATGGTCTGTTTTTAGTGTATTGTCGAGTAGGTGTTGCAGAGCCTCATAGAACTGATCTACTTCTGCTGAGGTTGGGGCATATATTTAGATCATTGTGATGTTAAATGGCTAATGGGGTAAATTACTTCATCCAAATTTAGGTGCATGTTAGATTTGCATAATATGCTCATTCTAATGCTGAGCCAAAGCAAAAAGGGGAAGATATTTCAAGAGCTGCACCTTGAGCTTCTCTTTGAGGAACGCTATCTCTAATTTAATGGCCATGGCTTAATGCTGTGCAATCCTTGGATTTGTAGTTTGGTGGTGCACCAGCATTCTTTGGCAGACAACGCTGAAGACCTTGTAAAACTGCAACCACCATGACTCCATAGTATTGAACAAAGGCTGTGAAAGTGGATTCAGCATAGAAGCATCCCAAGATTTTAATGTCCATTGCAGGAAACTTTGGTGGACTAACACTTCTGTTTTTAAAGAAGGAATTCTAAGCAGGCAGCAACTGCATTGCACACCTTTTTTTGGGCAAATTGTGCCACTGCACATTACATTCGCTAGCAAATACTTTTGGTTTCCATGTTTTGAAAATTGAGGTGCACATTAGGTTCGAAGGAGCATTAACTCAAGTTCATACGGTATTATCATTATGTTTATTTATGCTCCACTTTTTCTCCCCACACAAGGAGACTCAAAGTGGCTTACATTAAAAGCATTTCACTACAATTTAAACTCCAAAACATATGTACCTGGTGCTGAAGGAACAGAAGTGTCTTGGGAAGGGAATGGAGTGATAGAAATCGATAAACTTCTGGTACAGAGGTTTCGAGAAGTCATTCAGGACCAGGAGCCTCTGAAGTCGTCTTGTGATCCTCAAAGATTGGGGGAAATTAGGGTGAAAAACTGAATAATAATAATAATAATAATAATAATAATAATAATAATAATAATGCAAGACTTTAAAGGACAGGAGAACTGCTTAACAAATGATCACGACAGAGAAAGTCAGTTGTTCCAACTGTAAGGGTTCTTTGCTCCAACTGCATGGAATCAGTCTTCTTTTGAAAGAAGCTGGATGGCCATCTATTGGGAGGGATCAGATGGTGCTTTTCCTGCCTGGAAGAAGGGGGTTGGACTGGATGGCCTTTGGGCTCCCATCTAACTCTTTTGGAAGATGGTTCTATTTGGGGTCTCCTTCTCTGGAGGGTTCTAAGCAGAGGTTGAGTGGCCATCTGTTGAGAGGAATCAGATTGTGTATTCCTTTATGGTAGAATGGGATTGGACTAGATGGTCCTTGGGGATGTCCACTCCAGGATTCTAGACATCACAGCTCAAGGCTATCATGGGTTTTGGTGAAGCACCAGACCACTTTGGCAGAGAAGACTCATTGTAAGGGTTCATTGCTCCTACTGTGTTGTTATGGGTTTAGTCTTCTCTGGAAAGAATACGCCAAGATGCAAAGCGGCTAAAATACCATACATCTTTATTGTTCGGAATACAAGAACCTAGCACACCTGCCCATGTACTGTATATAGGGCCTTAGCTACAATGTCATAAATCACCCAAAGGCCCTGGTGCCTTTCCCCCATACCAGAGCCCACCTTCTCCCACCTCAGGGTAATTTACTTTTATGACCGGTTCATGTGTCCTTGGAGCATCTTGTCCTTCCTTTTGGATATAGGCCATATGCTTTATGTCAATACTGGGGTGGTGGTGGTATGATAGTTGCATGGCATGAGTGATCATGACACCAACCTTCTGGGACCAGCAACACAAAATCTGGGGTCAACTCTGTATATACTTCAGATTACAGTTTAATGAATTTGGATCAGGGAACAAATCTGTACCTATTAATTTGAATGACAGAGGAAATCAATGGAGTTTTGTGAGATGCCTTACCTCTCCATCAGATCGGTTACCAGCTTGGTGAATGTTACTGAAGCGTCCACATTTTGGGAATCCCTGACAAAAAAAAAGAGCAAACAATGTAATGTGTTGTCAAATGTAATGGGTTGCTGTGAGTTTTCCAAACTGTATGGCCATGTTCCAGAAGGATTCTCTCCTGACGTTTCATCCACATCTATGGCAGGCATCCTCAGAGGTTGTGGGGTCTGTTGGAGGAAACTAAGTAAGTGGAAGTTTATATATCTGTGGAATCATGTCCAGGGTGGGAGAAAAAAGTCTTGTCTGCTTGAGGCAAGTGTGAATATTGTAATTGGCCTGGCTGCTTCCTGCCTGGGGAAATCCTTTGTTGGGAGGTGTTAGCTGGCCATGATTGTTTCCTGTCTGCAACATTCACACTTGCCTCCAACAGACTTTCTTCCACCCTGGACATTTCACAGGTATAGAAACCCACTTGGCAACCTTTATTAGCATTTACACAGAGAAGCCATTGAAATCCACAAGCATATGGACAATTTCAACAGAAAAGAGGAAACCATGAAAATGAACAAAATCTGGCTACCAGTTTTTTAAAAACTCTAAAATCAGGACAGTAATTCCAGACAAGAATCAACCAGGGCCAGCTAACACATCCAAACAAAGGATTCCCCCAGGCAGTAATCAGCCAGGCTTTTGAAGCCACAAGGCCATTCAATGCTAATCAAGGTGGCCAATTGCAACATTCACACTTGCCTCCAACAGACAAGAGTTCTTTCTTCCACCATGGACATTCTCAGATATATAAACCTCATTTGCCTAGTTTCCAAAAGAGCACACAACCTCTGAGGATGCCTGCCATAGATGTGGGCGAAACAACAGGAGAGAATGCATTTGGAACATGGCCATAGAGTCTGGAAAACTCACAGCAACACTAAAAATATAATAAATCCTCATTAATATTTTGTAGAATTGGGTTCTCTGCAAAAAGGCTAAGCCCCAAGGGTTCCAAATCTATCACTACTAACAATAACAAACGTAAGTACAAAAATAATGTGGGTTTTTTGATATTTTGTTCTTCTTCATCAAAACTGGAAGTCAGTGCAACCTACAAAAACTAAAACAAATGCCACTGAATTTACTGACAAAAACATAAGAAACATGCCAAGAGTTAGCTAAAAAAAGGAGTTAAACTACTCACAGAACAACAATTTAAGAAGAAACATGCAAAAGATTAGTTTAAATGAGGTTAGACTACTATAGAACTATAACAATTTAAAACACATACAAAATGTTTTCTTGGGTCACATCTGCATTGCCATGGCTCAAGGCCACAAAGTCATGGGAGTTGTAGTTTTCCAAGCTCTGGTGCCTTCTCTGCCAAATTACAGCTCCCATGATTGTATAGCAATGAGCCAATGTAGGGCCAAGGATGTTCAGGCCCCACAAAGCCTCAGGCATTACTTACAGAGCAGCGATTTTATGGCGCAAGATCTCCTTGGCGGCTCCCAAAAGCATGACAGCCTCTGCTTTGGGTTTCTCTTGCTCTGCCTGATACAGAAAGTGCGCCACGATATCAGAAACCGGGGAGTATCTGGATAAAACCAAAGTAAGAGCCACAGATCACATTGGAGCCACAGTATCAGAAATATTCAGTTTGGAAATGTATATCAAGTGGTACATGAGTGAAGCAATTTCAGATTTAAGACAACTATAAAATATTTTAAGTAGGATCAGCATACAGTACTTGTTACATTAATGTTAAATAGGGTTACATATTCTGTGGCATTTTGGACATTTTCACCTGTAATTGTTGGTTTGCGTGAGGAAGTTGCAGGGTTCACAATGTCTGGGGCAAAATTTTCGTCTGCAATCTGGAGGGGTCGTCTTGTCAGACAGGTATTTATGATATTCCACTGAAACGTCACGGATGAATTTCTGCAGGAGGGCTCCTAAGGCAGAAAATAGGACAAGATGGCAAGCATTAACAAAGCAATGTGCGGATTCACTTAACAGTTATTTACTGTGCAAAACCCACTTAGAAAAACTGCCCTTCCTCCATGATTTGGTTTTGCAGAGGGCAATATTTTGTTCATCTCCAAAATCAAAATTAGAAGCGGATAGTCACTGCTGCATTTCTATGGCCTCATCTTCCCTGTAGCTCCTCCAGTGACAGTCCTGGGGTATTTGCAAAACCAATTTTGGTTCATTTGGGGCATAAAAAACCCTAATGTTAGTCCATACCAATCCTGAGCATAAAAGCCTTGGACAAACAATATCCACTAAGCAATTTCCTGATTACAAATCATTCAGTACAGTGTTCCCTCACTTATCGCGAGTGTTACATTCCAGGACCACCCGCAAAAAGTGAAAATCCGCAAAGTAGGGATGCTATATATGTATATCACGTTCTAAGGGTGACACAGAAGCAAGGAGAGATTTAAAGGCACAGCGCACCTTTTTTTTTTTTGCTTGTTATCTCTGCTTTGCTTTGCAATCTCTCTTGATTGGCTGCCTCTCTCCTGAGGGGGAGGGTGAAACCCCCTTCCACACTCCATTGTTGCCAGGAGGCGAGATTTGAACGCCGCTCTGGACAACGGCAACCATTCAAAAACTGGAAGGCAAAAACCCGCAAAACAGCAAGTCTGCGAAAAGCGAACCGCGAAGTAGCAAGGGAACACTGTATATCAAACACCATCTGGACTTCCTGGGTCCTGTTTGAAGCTCCCATTTGGTTCAATCCATCAAATACTATTCTTGTTTGAACTTTCTTTCTTCATGACATTTATTTTCCTGCCCGCCTGTGTGAGTTCCCTGGCTTGACGTTCCCATGTTGTTGTTGTTTATTCATTCAGTCACTTCCAACTCTTCGTGATCTCATGGACTAGCCCACACCAGAGCTCCCTGTCAGTTCGAATCTGGGGAAAGCACGGATGAGCTCCCTCTATTAGCTCCAGCTCCCTATGTGGGGACATGAAACCTCCCACAAGTATGGTAAAACATCAAAACATCTGGGCGTCCCTGGGCAACGTCCTTGCAGATGGCCAATTCTCACACCAGAAGCCACTTGCTGTTTCTCAAGTCACTCCTCACACACACACACACACACACACACACACACACACACACAAATATAGAAAAGACTGCAGCACATTTCACAGCGGTGTGTTTAATGCAATGTGAATGGTATTTCAATGTGAAAGAAACTGGAACCGGACAACAAAGTCATTCTTCTTTGTTTAATTGAATATATGTATATGCGTATTTTTGTAATACACTAAGCAGGAGTACATTTGCGCAATATAACCTAAAGCAATTTTTAAAATCTTAATAATAATGCCTAGTGTTTCGTATACTAAACAGGAGTACATTTGTGTAATATAAAATCAGGCATTTAAAGTAAATATTATGAACTAGTGTTGCATGAAGTAACATTACAGAATAAACAAACAAAAGCCACGAATCAAACAAAAACTACCAAATTCAAGTCAGTGCTTCATTTCATTTATACTCGGCCTTTCTCACCCCAGAAGGGACTCATTCTACGGGAGCAGCCATATTGTTATATCATACTAATGTGCCATACAATCTACTGCACACCTCAGTTTTCAAAACCCTTGAAACAAAAGAAGTATTTGCTGCTGAATGTAATGCCCAGTAATTTGGCCAAAAAAGGTGCGCATTACAGTTTCTGCCTGCTTAGGATTCCTTTCTTAAAAATAAAAGTATTAGGGAACCAAATCTTCCAGAAACGGAAAAGAAAACCTTGGGGTGCATCGATGCTGAAGAATTAATCCACTTTAACTGTCTTGGTTTAATGCTATGTCATCATAAGGAATGTAGTTGAGAAGGTCTGCAGCTTTCTCTGCCAAAGAATGCCGATGCCTCGCCAAACTACAAATCCCAGGATCCTATAGCATTGTAAATAGCAAGTAAATGAGAGATGCTTTGGCTTAGCACTAAGATTACCACATGGCATGCATCCAATGAGCACCCTAATTATGGAGAGGTTATTTAGCTCCAAAAGGTGAGCATTAGATTTGAGTAAATAGAATATTTCGACTCATGGTCAACATAGGAAAGTGCTTCTATTTGGCTTTGCCCCCATGACTTTCAAAAAGGGTTGGGGTCTGAAAGAGAGATTACAGCGGCTCCCCACTTGAGGGTCCGGTTCCTGTGCTGACTCTTCCCAAAGACAGTTCCACCTGAAAGGGAGCCCTCTGGAAAGTCATGTTGGCCCAACCCACTGAAGTCTGGACCAGATCCCCAAACACAGTTGCTTGGTTCCTTATACAATCAATCAGTCGATTTCCATTTCGCCTGGCCCGAGAACCCTCCTCCTGCATCATTTGCTGCAGGTAACTGGAAAAGACCTCTTTCTTCCTCCGAAGGGCCCTAACTAGCTTGTTCCTGGGGTGTGCCATCTGCAGACCCACATTCTTGGTGGCTTTCTTCCTTGTTTTCTTGCTCCTGGTGTTGGCCTTTCGGTTTGGGACCTTGCTATCTGTTATAGGAAACATATACATATTAACAACAACATCAACAACAACAACACAGCCCAACCCAAACAATAACCTTATTTTCTTAGTGTCTTGTTTTTCAGGCCTATTCCTGGGGGTCTTCGGAACACTGATTTAGAAACATTGCATTGGATAGACAGCATTATCCTAGTTTTCTTAGATAGCATTATCCTGGTGACAGATGGTAATTTTGTCAGTACGATTGTTTTTAACTGCAGGCCAAGGTCTGTAGGAACTGCACCCAGTGTGCCGATCATTGGGTCCACTTTGACTGGCTTGTGCCAGATGATAATGATGATATTATTATTATTATTATTATTATTATTATTATTATTATTGTTAATATCCAACTTTTTTCCCTCTAAAAAAACTCAAAGCGGCTAACAAACACTAAAAAACCATTGTGAGACCTAGCGAAGCCTCCACATTCATAGACAGTTTACCACTGGGGCAAGAACAAGGTTCAGTTCAATCCTTGCTAGATTCCCAATCTGCATTCCTTTCAGTTCACCCAGGAATCCCAAACATTCTGTTTCCTTGGAGCACAAAGCTACTTAAGAAGTACCAACTTGGTGGAAATGCCACTGTCCAGCAAGCCCAAACACCCATGATGGCAGTGGGACATTGTTTGCTTACTGGTCTGACTGGTCTTTCTCTTAGATATCTCTACCACCATTACTGAAACTGTGCTGCTTTCCATTTCTTTACTCTCTACAGCAGGCATGGGCAAACTCTGGCCCTCCAGGTGTTTTGGACTTCAACTCCCACAATTCCTAACAGCCTGCAGGCTGTTAGGAATTGTGGGAGTTGAAATCCAAAACACCTGGAGGGCCAAAGTTTGTCCATGCCTGCTCTTCAGTGAAGAAGAAAAAGCATAGAATGGAAAGGCTCAATGCCCAGCATGAAACTCAGGTTCCCTCCAAAGTCTCAAACCCACTTTGAACACCCAAAAGCCACACTTCAGCCCCATTCTCAAGGCAAAAACAACTCACCGACAGTCTCTCCATCAATAAGAATCCAGTCTTCTATCAAGAGGTCTCTCCCTGGAGAGGGGCGAAAAGGACAATTAATTTCCCCCAAAGTCTGCAGCAATTGGGAACCAACAGCATTAGCTCCAAGCACCTTACCTGAGACAACCTCCGCCTGAATGCTTCGACATTTCTTGCCCGCAGATCCTCATAGAAATTGATTGATAGGGAGCATGGCATTTGTGTGGCTGGTGGATTTCAACCCTTGGGAGGTTCACACTGCTTGCAATGTGGGACATCACTCTGCTCATCCCACCCCTTGAATGTCTCATGAGGCACATCCTCAAAAGTATCCTCTGCTGCAGCTCCTTGTGGATCTTCCATTTGGACCCCAGCAGCCAACTGCTCCTTGGTTTTGTTCTTTTTTCCAGTCTTTGCAAGCTGCTGGGCATTAGAGTTCTGGTTAGCACCATGGCCAAATGTTAACAGCTGCCCAGTGATATGAAAGTGTTTACCTGCATTAGAATCGTAGAATCCAAAAGTTGGAAGAGACCCCCAAGGGCCATTCAGCCCAACCCCCTTCTGCCAAGGCAGGAAAAGCACAATGTAATCCCTCCTGACAGATGGCCATCCAGCTTCTGCGTAAAAGCCTCCAAAGGAGGAGCCTCCATCACACTCTGAGGCAGTGAGTTGCACTGTTAAACAGCTCTTCTTATGGTAAAGAAGTCCTTCCTAATGTTCAAGTGGAATCTCCTTTCCTGTCATTTGAACCCATGGCTCCATTGAGTCCTAGTCTCCAGGGCAGCAGAAGACAAGCCTGCTCCCTCTTCCATAAGGAATTCATTCCAATATTTAAACACGTTTCTCATATCTCCTTCTCTCAGCCTTCTCTTCTTCAGGCTAAACAGACCCTGCTCTTTAAGCCACTCCTCAGAGGGATTCTTCATTTACAGACCTTTGATCATTTTAGTCGCACTCCTCTGGACTCCCTTCTAGCTTAGAGTTAACATCACACTTGAATTGCTTTGCCCAGAATTAGACCGAGGACTATGACTTCTTTTGATGTGGACACTATCTTCCTTTGGATGCAGCTCAGAATCCCATTGGCTTTTTTAGCTGCCGCTTCATGCTACTGTCTCATGTTCAATTTGTGGTCCATCAAGATACCTTTCATGTTGGACTGTCACCCATCCTGTATTTGTACATCTGTGCATCAGTGACCTCACTGCATCCTTTTTACATTCGCTTTCTAGTTTGAGGCTGGGAAAATACATGAAGGCCGGAATGGACTGGGGAAACAAATTCCCCCTCGCTGTGAACTTGCTTGCACAGTTCTCATAGCTATTAGTAGGATCATGGTTGCACACTTTGATATTTTTTTTGTTTGTGTTGGCACCATATAAGCCTCGGAGACCCTTCAACCTCACTTGGAGGAAAGTATCCTAATGAAAGATTTCCCGAGAAATGGCAATAATGAGGAATATGATTGTCAGACAAGGAATAGTCTGGGTAGAGTTTGTTTGAGAGGCTTGGAACGACACCAAATTCCAGAGCAAGCCACCATTCTTTCCAGGTGTTTTAATCTTGTTCCCCAAACAGAATAAGAATTGAAGAAAGGGGTGAAGCAACCAACATCATTCAGCAATTTCCAGGCATATCCAACAGCAAAACACAGAAATATTTGCAGATGATTAAACACAAGAAAGAAAAATCAAGAAAAAACCAGAGGAAAATAGATTGGGGTCCGTTCATTACTTTTTCACATTGATGAGGGTATTTGTCAAAAGTGGGAACTTTGAATTAATGGAGTGCTGCCAGAATAACAGAGGATAATGCACTCTTAAACAAAGAGTGAGAAGTTTGTAGTTGTTCTCAATGTTATTTGTAGCTGCAGTGAGTTGTGTGGTTTTTTGGTAGTTATCAAAATCTGAAAAGTATGTTTTATTGTGTTGCTTTCTTAAGTGAAAATTACTATTATCATTATCATTATCATCATCATCATCATCGTTGCTAAAAAAAACCAGGCTACCGAATATACTCGAGTATAAGCCGAATTTTTGGCCCTTTTTTAAAGCTGAAAAAGCCCTCCTCGGTTTATACACAAGTCAATGTTTTTTATTATTTTACTCTGTTATTATTATTATTATTACATATATTATTTTACTCTGTTTTTTATTATTATTACATATATTATTTTACTCCATTTATTATCACATTTAATATTTTTCTCTAATTATTGTAATTAATTTCTTATTTTACTCTATTTATTATTGTTATTATTACATTTACATTATTTTACTCTATGGTTTTCATTACATTTATTATATTACTCTATTTATAATAATAATTACATTTATTATTTTACTCTATTATTATTACAGATATTTTACTTTAGTTTGTTGTTATTATTACATTTATATTATTTTACTCTATTTATTATTATTACATTTATTATTTTACATTATAATTATTGTTATAATTACATTTGTTTACTGTTATTATTATTACATGTATTATTTTACTCTATTATTACTGTTATTACATTTCCATTATTTTACGCTATTATTATTATTTTTATTACATGTATTATTTTACTCTCTTTATTATTATTAGAAGGCTATGTAAGCACATTTACATTGAAGGAGGTTAGAATAATGATTTAATCAGAGGGATAGTCTTATCTTAAATTACTTTTATGTAAATATTCAAAAACATTTAACCTACAGATACCTCCATTAATGTAATTTTATTGGTATCTATCTTTATTGTGAAATCTACCAGTAGCAGCTTCATTTCTCACCCTCAGCTTCTACTCGGATCAATACGTTTTCCTAGGTTTTAGTGGTAAAATTAGGTGCCTTGGCTTATATTCGAGGCTGCTTATACTCGAGGATAAAATTCTGCTTCAGGAAGAAATGATTACCACACAATGGCTCTATCTACACTGCATATAATGAGACTGAACTGCATTGAACTGGATTATATGAGTCTACACCAGGCATGGGCAAACTTGGGCCTTCTAGTTGTTTTGGACTCCAACTCCCACAATTCCTAACAGCCTATCGGCTGTTAGGAATTGTAGGAGTTGAAGTCCAAAACAACTGGAAGGCCCAAGTTTGCCCATGCCTAGCTTAGATGCATTGAGTTCCCTCTGCTGCCAGACACTCACCTCCACGTTGAACATCGGCATCAATTTCAGAGAGGTCCAAGTTGAATGCGGCCAAGCCTCCGGTGAGGACAAAATTCCACTGACCCTTCCAGTATTTGCTTTTATTGTGAGCATTGCAGTGGCACAGCGAAGGGGTCACCCAATATTTGCACTAAGGGCAGAAGCAAATAGTAACAATAACAACAATAATAATAATACTTCAGTTTTATTAAGATTTGGATTACATTCCACTTCATTTCACGGTGAAGTCTGGGATTTCCCAGCTTAATACAGAAAGTACAATCTGAAGCACCTATCCTTGGCTGCTTCCACCATTTCCTTAAGGCATCCCATAAGAGAAGCCAATATAGAACAGGTAAGGAGTGACACCCACTCTGCCCAAAAAGCCTAAAGATCTCAGTTGTTCTCTGCAGAGCCTCTCAAAATGGCAACCAGAGAGAACTATTACTTATTTATTTATTAGCTGCCTCTCCCTTCAGCTCAAGGCAGGACACAATATAGTTAAGTACATCTATAAAATCATATATTAAAACCAAGTTAAAATGCAGCCTTTTTTTCATGTCAGGAGCAACTTGAGAAACTGCAAGTTGCTTCTGGTGTGGGAGAATTGACCATCTGCAAGGATGTTGCTCAAGGGATGCCTGGATGTTTGATGTTTTACCATCCTTGTTAAAGGCTTCTCTCATGTCCCCACATGGGGAGCTGGAGCTGACAGAGGGAGCTCATCCACGCTCTCCCCAGATTCAAACCACTGACCTGTAGGTCAGCAGTCCTGCCAGCACAAGGGTTTAACTCATTGCAGCCTTGAAATAATACATTAAAACATATACATATTAAAACACAAAGACACAACTCAAAAACATAATAAACATAGAAGACTGAATCTCCCATCAGAGGAAAATGAAGGGATTTGGATGTAGTGCAAGATCCTGGGATGTTTGAGTATGGTTTTTTGACACACCCATATTTATTTTGAAAAGTTTTAGGACACCAAAGTTTCCTTCAATGGAAAAGACTTTGGGGTGCATCTATGCTATAGAATGAATCCACTTTAATTGCCTTGGCTCGATGTTATGGAGTCATAGGGGCTGTAGTTTGAATGCTACAGAATCCTATCAGCTGTAGTTTGGCAAAATCTTGAGCCTTCTCTGCCAAGGAATGTTGATGCCTCACCAAACTACAAATCCCAGGATTGCATAGCATTGCACCCTGGGTTAAATTTGAGGTGAGGTCTCAAGGAGGCACATAAGGAGGCATATAGGCTCCATGATGCCCAATCTGCTAATTACAGAGAAGCTTCAGCCTCCAGAGGTTCTGGATTCCAGTTCTCACAATCCAATATCAGTGAAGCCAAGGATAAGGAAATGATGGCAGCTGCCGTCCGAAACATCTGGAAGCGCAAAGCTTTTCTGTCCTCGGTTGAGCACACAACCGCTCCAGGATACTTCTGCCACAAGTGGGTTTAATCCTTTCAAAAAGCTATCTGAGCTGGACGCCGTGGGTCATGTGGTACAGAGATGTAATCCGACATTGTGCTCAGAACATCCCATTGTCTCCCCTAATCGTACAACCAGCTGTTCTTTTCACAGGACCCAGTTCTTGTGGGCTTTGAAACGGCCATACAAATATATAAACATCCTCCCCACAGAACAGAAGGACTTCGGATTACATCTCCAGTGGTGGTGTTTTTATACGATCATGTAATTGTTCTTTAAACATTTTGATCACCAGGTTTTCAGCCATATCTTTCTTTAACCCTGGCATGGGCCAACTTTGGCCCTCCAGGTGTTTTGGACTTCAACTTCCACAATTACTAACAGCTGGTAGGCTGTTAGGAATTGTGGGAGTTGAAGTCCAAAACACCTGGAGGGAGGCCGAAGTTGGCCCATTCCTGCTTTAACCTCACTGTGGACCTCATCACACCAGAGCAGCATTTCTCAACCTGGGGGTCAGGACCCCTGAGCAGGTTGCGAGGGGGCGTCAGAGGGGTCACCAAAGACCATTAGAAAACAGTATTTTCTGTTGGCCATGGGGGTTCTGTGTGGGAAGTTTGGTCCAATTCTATCTTTGGTGGGGTTCAGAATGCTCTTTGATTGTAGGTGAATTATAAATCCCAGCAACTACAACTCCCATATGTCAAGGTCTATTTCCCCCAAACTCCACCAGTGTTCACATTTGGGCATATTGAGTATTTGTGGTAAGTTTGGTCCAGATCCATCATAGTTTGAGTCCACAGTGCTTTCTGGCTATAGGTGAACTATAACTCCAAAATTCAAGATCAATCCCACTAATCCCTTCCAGTATTTTCTGTTGGCCATGGGAGTTCTGCGTGCCTAGTTTGGTTGAATTGCATCATTGGTGGAGTTCAGAACACTCTTTGATTGTAGGTGAACTATAAATCCTAGCAACTACAACTCCAAAATAACAAAATCAATCCCCTTCCAATCCCGTCAGTATTCAAATTTGGGTGTATTGGGAATTTGTGCCAAATTTGTTCCAGTGAATTAAAATACATCCTGCATATCAGATATTTACATTAGGATTAATAACAGCAGCAAAATTATTTGCTGTCATGAAATTGAAACAAAAATAATGTTATGGTTGGGGTCACTACAAAATGAGGAACTGTAGTAAGGGTTCATGGCATTAGGAGGGTTGAGAACCACTGCACTAGAGCATGTTTTCACTTTAAAGCCTTTTTGCTGCCTCCTGAAGAATTCTGGGGTTTGTAGTTTACTAAGGCACAGGACCTCTCTGACTGAGCAGTTTAAAGGGCCACCTCCTTACCTCCTTGGCTTGCTTGTTGCAAATGTAGCAGTAGCATTCACTACAGGTCTCTGCGTTTCTCCCGAGGGGATGGGAAGTCTCATGCTCCGCACGCCTGGAAGTAAGGGAGAAACCACCTTTTAGTGGTTGAGTTTTTGGCAGTTTCCCTCCCCTTCACCTTGACTTATAGGCTCAATAGAAAGTTCCGTTTAGCTGGATAAGGCTTTTCCCCTTAAGTCTATCTGCGCGAAGGCACTTACTCGAAGGGATTGATCGTGCAGTCGTGTCTCGCGTGAGGCATCAGCTTTGCTTTCTTGCAGAAAGTGACAATCACCTCTTCATCTACAACTTCAACTGTGTCTTCCTCTTTCGAGGGGAAATCTTCTGTAAAGGACAAACATTGTGGGGATCATTTCACTAAAAAAGGACTTAAAACAGCAATTTCAAAGAGGGTCAGCCCAAAGACACTCCTTTGTATAAGATTTGGTTAGATGCTTCTAGAGTTTTGTTGCCTTGAGATTTTTTTAAGCAGTGCTCTGGTTCACCCTTCTGCATCTATAGATTGAATTAACCATGGCTTGAAAATATTTGGGGGGAAATACTCCCCAAAACTAGCCTTGATTTTTCTGAACATTAGGCTAATGTGTTAGCATGCCTTGCTGTAGCCTTTTGATATTTTATACAGTCTGTTTGCCCTTTACACTATGTTCCTTTTTTGAAAATGTTATTTCCTGTTTAATTCTGTGATACCTACTTTGAAAGTAGTTTTTATACTCCAGAAACCTTATTTTTGTGGCTGCCACAAACTATGTTGAATTGGTTGAGACTCAGCGAGCTATTCATTGAAAAACTAGAGCAAAATGTGCTGCAGGATGTCCCGCAAAGACAAAGTTTGTACAATTTAATACACTTTGTCCATGTTTTTACTATAGAACAAATTAGGAAATGACATTTATAACCCAGGAACAAAAATCACGTTACAAGGGACACTATAGTATATAACAGATAGGAGGATCTTGGAACCAAACCCTAACAGGCACCAAGGATCCACTATATTTATAAGTTGCTTACCTGTAACTGTAGTTTCCTGAGTAGTCACCTGTGAATTTGTACATTTGGTATCTCTGCGCTTGCGCAGTGCAACATTCGAAACCTTCTGGAAAATAAAAACTGGCAGTTTAGACCCCAGCTAGCCACGCCCACCTCCCCCGAGTATATATAGCCCATGGGCGGAGCTAGCCAACAGTTCTCTTCAGCCGTAAAGCAGCTGGAAGGCGTGGCATGATACCCGAGGGGAGGATGTACGAATTCACAGGTGACTACTCAGGAAACTACAGTTACAGGTAAGGTGTCGGCTCCCTTTCGCGCATGCGCAGCGCGCAACGGTGTTTTCTTGGCTGCCTGAGTATTCATCCCTCCTCCCCCCCCCGCTGGACACAGTCAGGCACATCAGAGTCATCATCAGTACTGTCCAGTTCAATTGGTTTCTGCAAAGATACAACAGGTAGAGATATAGTGACCGGCCCCTGAGGGGTTGAGTCACCTTGCACTTGAGTAGTGGTCAACACAGGGTTGGTAGTAGGCATGTTGTCATCTCTAAAGGATGTCACAGTACTTGCAATCTGTGAAGAGGTCAGCACAGAATTGGTATTGTTCACAGTTTGGTTTGTAGAGGTCGACACAATAGGAGGTCTGCACAACGTTTGAGAGGTAGACACAATAGAAGGCCCACACACAGTTTGAACTACACAAGGGGCCTTTCGTGTAGAGGCCAATGTGGCAACTGCAGCAGAGGTCGAAGGGCCATCTCCATCTCTCTCAACAGAGGGGCAAGTATTTGTAGCTCTCAAAACTCCTCCCTCAGGGGGGAGTGAAAAACTGGGCATCGACATTGGTGGTTGCATAAATATCATCTGGCCCAATGGGCCTACTTGCCAGTAGCCCGGAAACAGTACCGGACCCATGGCAGCATGACCCCAGGGAGGTGGGCGGGAGAAGCGGGGACGCCTACGGCGCCTAGAGTAGTTGGAAGAAGAGGAGGTCGTCGAGGAGGAATGGATGCGGGACCTGCCCCTGGATCCCGAGCGGTATCGGCGATGTCGGGATCGAGCGCTCCTCCTTGAAGGCGATCTTGAACGTCTAGGGCGCCTGCTTCCATAGCGGGATGAGCGCCTCGGCCATGGATGATGAAGGACCTCAGGCATTGGCATTGGTGTAGCTGGGTCTAGGGAAGAGAGGGTCTGTGTTACTCCTTCCCCGCTTGCAATTGTAGCTCTTTCCCTGCAATCTTCTTCCTCCCGAGATGTGATGACAGCGACCTCGGGAAGGGCCTTGGCACCCACGGTGGGAGGGGCGTTAGTGGGACTTTCCAAAACTTGGTTCCCCAATACCGGGGGAACCATATGAGGAGGAGTCGATGTGGACGTCTCCATAGCATTAGAAGTCTGCGCCCGGCCTCCCGAAGGAGGTGATAAGATCGGCATCAATGGAGTTAAATTAGTCTCTGGTGCCGGCTCCCTTTTGCGTGCATGCGCAGCGAGCAACAGTGTTTTCTTGGTGGCCTGAGTAGCCCTAGGCGCCACTAGGGGGAGCTCATCAATTTGTACTCTCGGCATCGACAGAGAGCCGGAGCCATGATTGGCAACTAACGAACTTCCTGACAGAGTTGCAGAGGCCGTTTTTAGAGAGGAGGCTTGGCGGCCATCTCGGGGTGCCTTATCTTTAGGCCTCTTGGCTTTCTTCTTAGCTTTCCCCACAGCGATGCCAATACCAAGTAAGTTCTGCCGCTCAACAGATTGGCTAGAAACGGCTGAGAGAAGGGCTCTCTCGTAGAGGGCCGCCTTCAGTCTGGAGACTCTGTTTTTCCTCGTCTGCGGGGTAAAGGATTGGCAAATGGGACAAGCTTGGGTTAAATGGCCCTCGCCCAGGCAGGTAAGGCAGAGGGTATGCCCGTCCGTATCGGGCAATAAATTTGGGCAATTAGTGCACTTCTTAAAAGAAGTGGTCGCCATAGCCATCGGATTAATTCACAGAGTTGTCGAAAAGCAGTCCAGTTGTCAAAGTACCTCAGAAAATATATCTCAAGAGAGCAAAGGTTCTCCAGCTGCTTTTGACAGCGCAGATTAACAGTTGGCTGGCTCCACCCACGGGCTATATATACTCGGGGGAGGTGGGCGTGGTTAGCTGGGGTCTAAACTGTCAGTTTTTATTTTCCAGAAGGTTCCGAATGCTGCACTGCGCAAGCGCAGAGATACCAAATGTACGATTCACAGTGACTACAACAGGAAATTATATGTATAGATTCTCCATTTCTTTTTTCTTCTCCTGAAGAAACCCTCCAAACGCAAAATAAAAAAATCAGAAAGGAAATTCAAAAAGACTCAACTCGGAGCCCTAGAATCATAGAATAGCCCAATTTCTTGGAGATGGTTCTTACCTGAATGTTCAATCATCAAAATGGAATCATCCAACAGATCCTCAGCTTCATCACTGCTACTCAAAATAACACATTCATCTTCATCAACAGACGCCATGGCCCAGGAAAGAAGGGCAACTTCCCAGAGCGAAGGAGGCTTGAAGAGCTGAAGGCAGGAAAAAGAGAGAGAAGTCTACAGCAGTGGTTCTCAACCTGTGGGTCCCCAGATGTTTTGGCCTTCAACTCCCAGAAATCCTAACAGCTGGTAAACTGGCTGGGATTTCTGGGAGTTGTAGGCCAAAACACCTTGGGACTCACAGGTTGAGAACTACTGGTCTAAAGGAACTACTGCCCCTGATGTTTAACCAGCTGGGTTTTATTTATTTATTTATTTTACAGTATTTATGTTCTGCTCTTCTTCCCCCGCAGGGAACTCAGGGAGGATTACAATGCACATGTGCATGACAAATATTCAATGCCACTTAGACATACAACATATATAGACAGACACAGAGGCATTTAACATTCCACCTTTTCCAACTTCATGAGGGTATGCTTGATTCCGGCCACAGGGAGAACTGCTACTTCACCGTCCATTTGTGACATTGAGTACTTTGATGGAGTACTTCCTCATTCTTCTGCACGCTGCTGGATGGTTTTATGATGTCGTTAATTAGTTAAACTAGCCTCCCTGCATAAAGTGGTACCTAAATTTCCTACTTGATAGATGCAACTGTCTTTCATGCTGCATAAGTCAACAGCAAGCTAGACTATTAATGATCGGGAGCTTACTCCAACCCAGGCTGGCTTCGAACGCATGACCTCTTGGTCAGTAGTGATTTAATGCAGCTGGCTATTAACTAGTTGCACCACAGCCCAGTCCTAAACAGCTACTTTGCCCTGAATTGCCCAAAAAAAAACCAGAGAAGACACACAAACACTTAAAAATGAAAATATTGTCAAGGAACAGAGAAGCCAAGGGTTTCAGTTTTCTTTTTAATCCTCCATAAAAAGGAATGAATGCAGAGTTCAACATCCTGGTGAAGGTCAATTTTCCCTGCCACAAAAAAAATCTTGAGGGCTTTCAAAACTGCAAACATATACAGGCAGTCCCTGAGTTACAAACATCTTACTTACAAACCACTCCTAGTTAAGAATGGTGAGACAACAGGAAGTGATAGCAATCTGACCCTTGGAAGGGAAATCCACTCCTGAAAGAGTTATTATCATGGGAAAAAGGTGTCTCCCCTGAATTTTTTATCCCCTGTTGGGAAAAGACGCAATAATGACCAGGCGGGAGGCAGGGTGTAGAAGTGAATGATGATGGCTTTTTTATTGTTGCCCAAGCAAAGCTTATATGGGTTCTGGTGCTCTTCAGCAAAGTCTGCATAGCAACAGTGGGGGATTACATAATTGTCAAGTGATTGGTTGGACTCTCAAGGGTGAGGTAATCTACAGGTGAGGTCAGCTATAGGTGATGTCATCCTTCCTGTCTTCAAGGGTAATGTCCATACATGGTCAGTGGGGTAGGAACAGTGTATGCATCTGGGGAGGGCGGCCTGTCTCCAGTCCCAGGTCATGATGCCCTGTATACTTTGCCAGAATGGTGTGAAGCATAAGTGTCAGGGGTCTGGAATTTTCCAATGGGCGTCCAGACTAGAATGGCGTGCCAGTAAAAGCCCAGAGGCGCATTGTCACTTCAATGGGACATAATAATGTCATCACTCCTTCACATAATAATGTCATCACTCCTTCAATCCCCAATCCTTGTTTCCACAAGCCAAAATATTCAAAATCCAATTTTCACAGGGACCGAAAGTGAGGTGGAATCTTCTGAACAGCGGCACAGACAGCAAAATAAATGCCACATGGGTGTTAACCCTTTCCTATGCTATCCAAGGTGTGCATATATTTATATATATATGGACCCCTCTTGGTGCAGTGGGTTAAACTGCTGAGCTGCTGAACTTGCTGACTGAAAGGTTGGCAGTTTGAATTCAAGGACCAGGGTAAGTTTCCACTGTTAGCCCAGTTCCTATTATCATGGGAAAAAAGGGTCTCCGCTGAAACTTTATTCCCAATCCTTGTTTCCACAACAAGCCCCACTTTTCAAAATTAAATTATCAAGGAGCAGAAAGGGAGGTGAAACCTTCTGAACAGGGGCACAGACAGCAAAACAAATACCACTGCAATTTAAGGGAGATGTTGACTCTAAGCTGAAATGTGTCCAGAGAAGAGCAACTAAAATGATTGAGGGTCTGGGAACCCATCCCGCCGCACTCCCACAACCACACAGTCCCCAATGCCACATCAATGTGAAGACATAGAGTTCAATATAGTTACAGCTCTAGGATAAAGCTGTTTATTATTTTATTTATTTATTTATTAATGCGCTTGTATACCGCTAATATCTCAGCCTAAAACGGCGACTCATTGCGGTTTACAACACTTAAAACAACAATATTCAATTTAAAAACATAAAATACATATACAGTACACAGTATCGGGCCACCAATACAGACCAATGCATCTCTTAGTTAAAATCATAATCCAATTTCGTCGTCTATAATTACCAGTCCTTGATCATCAACTTCATCGCACCGGATTAACCGAATGCTTGTTCAAACATCCATGTCTTCAGTTTTTTTCGAAATACCATCAGCGAGGAGGCTGATCTTATCTCTATAGGGAGGGTGTTCCAAAGCCGAGGGGCCACCACAGAGAAGGCCCTGTCTCTCGTTCCCGCCAGCCGCACTTGAGAAGCCGGCGGGATAGAGAGCAGGGACTCTCCAGAAGATCTTAGGGTCCTGGTGGGCTGATAGGCTGAGATACGTTCGGATAGATATGTTGGGCCAGAACCGTTTAGGGCTTTAAAGGCCAACGCCAGCACTTTGAATTGGGTCCGGTAGCAAATCGGCAGCCAGTGGAGCTGGTACAGCAGAGGAGTCGTATGCTCCCTGCGCCCCGCTCCTGTTAATACCATGGCCGCCGCCCGTTGGACTAATTGGAGCTTCCGAGCCGTCTTCAAAGGCAACCCCACGTAGAGAGCGTTGCAGTAGTCAAGACGGGATGTAACCAGAGCGTGGACTACCGTGGCCAAGTCAGACTTCCCAAGGTACGGTCGCAGTTGGCGCACAAGTTTTAACTGTGCGAATGCTCCCCTGGTCACCGCCGAAACCTGGGGTTCCAGGCTCAGCGATGAGTCCAGGATCACACCCAAACTGCGAACCTGCGTCTTCAGAGGGAGTGCGACCCCGTCTAACACAGGCTGTAACCCTATACCCTGTTCGGCCTTGCGACTAACCAGGAGTACCTCTGTCTTGTCTGGATTCAATTTCAATTTGTTCGCCCCCATCCAGACCGTCACAGCGGCCAAGCACCGGTTCAGGACTTCGACAGCCTCCTTAGTAGCAGGTGGAAAGGAGTGACAGAGTTGGACATCATCTGCGTACAGATGACATCGCACCCCGAAACTCCGGATGATCTCGCCCAGCGGCTTCATGTAGATGTTAAACAACATGGAAGACAGTATTGAACCCTGAGGAACCCCACAAGACAAAGGTTGTGGGGTTGAACAGGAGTCCCCCAGTAACACCTTCTGAGACCGACCCTCGAGGAATGACCGGAGCCACTGCAGAACAGTACCTCCGAGACCCATTCCCGCGAGGCGTCCCAGAAGGATACCGTGGTCGACGGTATCGAAGGCCGCTGAGAGGTCGAGCAGCACCAACAGGGACACACTCCCCCTGTCGAGCTCCCGACGCAGATCATCCACTAAGGTGACCAAGGCTGTCTCGGTACCATGCCCCGGCCTAAAGCCAGACTGTGCCGGATCCAGATAATCCGTGTCTACCAAGAATGCCTGGAGTTGTGAGGCCACCACACGTTCCATGACTTTGCCCAAGAAGGGGAGATTGGAAACAGGCCGATAGTTGACGAATTGAGTGGGGTCCAGTGATGGTTTCTTCAACAGCGGTTTTATTACAGCTTGCTTTAAGCTGGCTGGAATTTTGCCCTCCTGAAGGGAGGCATTAACCACCACCTTAACCCACTCGGCCAATCCCCCTCTGGCCTCCTTCAGAAGCCAGGATGGGCAGGGGTCTAGGATGCATGTGGTAGCTCTCATTCCTCCAAGCACCTTGTCCACATCCTCGGATTGAACCAATTGAAATGAATCCATCAAAATTGGACAAGCAGATGCTCGTGTTACATCCTCAGAGACTGCCGTTAATATGGTGTCCAGTCCAGAGCGGATCAAAGCGACTTTGTCTGCAAAGAACTGAGCAAAGGCTTCACAGCGAGCTGCCGAGTCATCAGGGCACCCATCCTGAGTGGAGGGTTTTAACAAGCCTCTGACAACTCGGAACAGTTCAGCCGGACGGTTCTTTGCAGACGCAATAGTGGCCGCAAAGAAAGTCTTCTTTGCGGCTTTTATTGCCGCGGCATATGCCCTTAGAAAGGACACAAACCGTGTTCGATTTGGCTCGCTCGGATCCGAACGCCACACGCTCTCTAGTTCCCTCTTCTTTCGCTTCAACGCTGCCAGCTCCTCAGTAACCAAGGAGCTGGTTTAGCTCGGCTACTTGAGAGGGGACGTTCTGGAGCGATCGTGTCTATTGCCCTAGTCATCTCCCCATTCCAGAGAGCGACCAGAGCATCAACAGGATCACCAACCGAGGTGGCGGGAAATTCCCCAAGAGCCGTCAGGAATCCATCCGGATCCATAAGCCTCCTGGGGCGGACCAGCTTAATGGGTCCTCCACCTCTGCGGAGGTTAGGAGGTGCAGTGAGTCTAAAGCTGACCAGGTGGTGGTCGGTCCATGGCAACGGAGAGATGGATAACTCCTCAACACCGCCACCTTCCTCCCATCCCTGGCAGAAAACCAAGTCCAATGTATGTCCAGCACTGTGGGTGGGGGCAGATACCTGTTGGGACAGCCCCATGGTTGCCATGGCAGACATGAAATCCTGAGCCGCTCCCGATAAGGCGGTCTCGGCGTGTACATTGAAGTCCCCCAGCACAAGCAGCCGTTGGGACTCCAATGCCAGGTCCGAGACCACCCCCGCTAGCTCAGTCAGGGAGTCTGTAGTGCAGCGAGGTGGGTGGTACACTAACAGAATCCCTAATCTGTCCCGGTCACCCACCCTCAGGTGGACGCATTCAAAATTTGTTGACTGCGGGATGGGGGCCCTGGTCAGAAGAATGGAATCTCTATAGACCACTGCAACTCCGCCTCCCCGCCCTCCGGATCTCGGTTGGTGCTGCACAGAGAAACCTGGTGGGCAAAGCTGGGTTAAATTTACACCTCCCGCTTCGTCCAACCAGGTCTCTGTGATGCACGCCAGATCTGCCCGTTCATCCAGGATTAAATCCTGGATGAAAGTTGTTTTACCGTTGACAGATCTGGCGTTCAACAGCACCACTTTCAATCTGGAGGGACCGCCATCCTGGTTACACCAACTTACCGTATCAGGAGACCGCTTTGGGATTACTAATGTTGTTCCGCGTTCCCTAGGCCGAATTAAAGGTCTCCCTTTCCCGTATCTCCCCCTCCCCACCACGACTTCTATGGGGGCTCCCCGGTTAACGGAAGCCTCTCCCTCCTCCTCCATGACGCCTTCAACAGCCGTGATAACAACCCATAATTCATTATTGACTGTTTGATATGTTACAGCTTCAGGTTGCCATGGCTTCGCCTTCCAGTTGTTTCCAGTTCCTATTATGTTATACTCGTGTCCCCCTGGGCTACTCCGTTCTCTTTCTCCACCAAAAACAATTAGCAGCCCGATTAGCAATTGCCAGGGAATAGATAGTGACATGAATGATAGCTGTTAACACAGTCAAGGAGTTCGTTGAAGCTCTTAAAGTGCAGAAGGAAAATTATGTCAACATACACATACACAACAAACACAATGGTATGAGCAATTAAAGTGCAACGGCTTGTCGGTTAGCTCTAAAATGCTAAATGAAGTGCGTCATGGAGGGTTGATTCAACGCTAGATGGATTAAGTCGATTAAAGTGCTAAGGATAGTTAAAGTGCCACAGAGGTAATAATTTAAAGTGCTAATAGAATAAAGTGCTAGAGTTACACAAAGATGAGGTACCCCGCCTCACCGCACTAAGGTTGGTAAGCACAGTTGGAAAAGGTGGTTACACAATCAGAATGGTCAGCACAATCACAAAAGGTCAGCACAGATAGAAGATAGACACAATTAGAGACAATGGTCAGTACAGTCGGAGATGATCAACACAATCGAAAAATGGACTGCAAAGTCAGGAGGTCAGCACAGAAAATTGATGACGTTCAACACAGTATATCCAAAATTGGAACAGCGAGATGCCAAAAGATGACAATAATTGGGTCGTAGGGTGGTCATAAGGTGGTCAGCCCAATTAGGTCTCAAGGTGGTCAGCCCAATCTTCCGGGAGTTAATGGATTACCGGCACGATGATGGAATTTCGTGCGGTGGCGGCCGATTGATCCCAGTTCTGGGGTGCTAGCAACCAGCCAAGGATAGTGAGCAGATAGTTGTTGATTGAGAGCTTGTTCTATTATCTGTTTGTCCTCGTCTTTATCACCTTGTACCATCTGCCTGGTAATTGTTGTCTTTTTTTATATTGTTTATACGGTTTTATACTGTTTATACTGTTTTATATTGTTATTATTACATTCCTGTTAATCGTATATGTTTTGATGTGGGTGCCATGGGGTGCCGCTTTGTTAGCCATCCTGAGTCCCTCTGCAGAGGTTGAGAAAGAACGGGATATAAAAACCCTAAATAAATAGTTCAATAATAATAACAATAATAATAATAATAATAATAATAATAATAATAATAATATGCTAGGTTAGATGGAGCCCTGAGAATGTTCTGCACTTTCTTTAGGCTGCAGGACCTATAAAGTCTTTCCAAAGAGGGGAGAAAGAGGGCAACTGATGCAGAAGTTGTGACCCTTTAAAGCACCTTCCTAGCTGCCACTGTATAGTTACCAAACCATACACAGATGCGGTAGGTCAGAACACTCGCTATACCACAGCGGTAGAAAGTCACCAGCACTTTTTCATTCAGTTGTTGGTTCCTTAGAAGTCTCAGGTTGAACAGTCTCAGCTGCACCTTCTTAACAACACTGTCATGTGGGTGCCCCAGGTCAGACCCTCCTTAACAGTGACACGCAAGAACCTGAAACTGGCCACCCAATCTACTTGGTCTCAATTTATGGCCTGAATAAATAAGAGTCTAGTGCAGTGTTTCTCAACCTGGGGGTCGGGACCCTTGGGGAGGTTGTGAGGGGGTGTCAGAGGGGTCCTCAAAGGCCATCAGAAAACACAGTATTTTCAGTTCACCATGAGGGTTCTGGGTAGGAAGTTTGGCCCAGTTCTATTGTTGGTGGGGTTCAGAATGCTCTTTGATTGTAGGTGAACTATAAATCCCAGCAACCACAACTCCCATATGTCAAGGTCTATTTTTCCCAAACTCCACCAGTGGAGCATATTGAGTATTTGGCCAAGTTTGGTCCAGATCCATCATTGTTTGAGTCCACAGTGCTCTCTGGATGTAGGTGACATCCAAAGTTGAATGTCAATGCCCACGAAACCCTTCCAGTATTTTCTGTTGGTCATGGGAGTTCTGTGTGCCAAGTTTGGTTTAAGTCCATCATTAGTGGAGCTCAGAATGCTCTTTGGTTGAAGGTGGACTATAAATTCCAGCAACTACAACTCCCAAATGCCAAAATCAATCCCCCACTCCACCAGTATTCAAATTTGGGCGTATCAGGTATTTGTGCCAAATTTGGTACACTGAATGAGAATGCATCCTGCATATCAGATATTTACATGACGATCTGAATGCGATTTTCCTGCTTCTTGGCAGAATGGGGTTGGACTGGATGGTCCATGAGGTCTCTTCCAACTCTATGATTCTATGATTCATAACAGGAGCAAGATTACAGTTATGAAGTAGCAGTGAAAATAATTTTATAGTTGGGGGGTCAACACAACATTAGGAACTGTATATTAAGGGGTTGCGGCATTAAGAAGGTTGAGAATGACTGGTGTAGTGCCTAGATCCAGGGAAATCATGCCACCCCTCTATTCTGCCTTGGTCAGACCACTTTACCTGGAATCACACTGTGTCCAATTCTGGGCACCACAACTGAAGAGAGATATTGACTCTAAGTGGAATGTGTCCAGAGGAGGGTGACTAAAATGATCAAGGGTCTGGAGAACAAGCCCTATGAGGAGCGGCTTAAAGAGCTGGGCATGTTTAGACTACAGAAGAGAAGGTTGAGAGGAGACATGATGAGGGCCATGTATCAAGATGTAAGGGGAAGTCATAGAGAGGAGGGAGCAAGCTTGTTTTTGGAATTCTCTGCTGAAGGAGATCAGGCAAGCCCCTGCCCTAGCTGGTTTTAAGAAAGACCTAAAAACTTGGCTCTTCCGTTGTGCTTTTGGAGAATGGCCATTCAACCCATCTGGTTGTCTTAGTCTACAGCTGCCCTCAATATAAAGCCCCCCCCCCCTCTCTAAAATGGCTAAATCCCATGGTTCCTCCCTGTTGGGTTCCTTTCCTACAAATGCACTTTTATCCCTATCTCACCCAGGGTTTTAACTTTTTAAGCATTTTACCTCACACATTTGGCCCGCCCTCCGTGTCTGGTTTCAATATCCTGTTTTATATTGTTGATTTTGTTATTTTATATTTTGTTATGATGTATTTTGTTACTGTGTGTTTATTATGTTGCATTATTTTGGGCTTGGTCTCATGTTAGCCGCACCGAGTCCCCTTTGGGGAGATGGTAGCAGGTTATAAATCAAGTGTATTATTGTTGTTGTTGTTGTTTTCTGCTGCCCTGGAAACTAGGACACAATGGGACAATGGCTTCAAACTACAGGAAAGGAGATTCCACCTGAACATGAGGAAGAACTTCCTGTGAGAGCTGTTCAGCAGTGGAACTCTCTGCCCAGGAGTGTAGTGGAGGCTCCTTTTCTGGAGGCTTTTAAACAGGGGCTGGATGACCATCTGTCGGGAGTGCTTTGAATGCGATTGTCCTGCTTCTTGGCAGAATGAGATTGGACTCAATGGCCCACGAGGTTCCTTTGAATGACAGACAACGCAGTATTCTCCACACGCACACCACACCCTCCTACCTGGCTTCACTTCCTGCCTCCTTCCAAGCGGCCGTCCGGTTCGTTTTGATTTCCGCGCCAACGCCCCAAATGACGTCATTTCCGGCGCCTCCCTCTCTCTAGCGTGAAAACCCCTAGAGCGCCTTGGAGAGGGAGGGAAGAAGAGCTTCCGGTTGGCTCTCCTCTCTGGATCCATGATGTGGAATGATTGGGTGCTATGGGATTCTGAGAGCTGAAAGTTTGGGGATTCCCCCAGCCCTCTAAGGCCAAACTACAGCTCCCAGGACCCCCATAACCTTGACACAGGGATGCCAAACCCGCATTTAATTCAACTGTGTGGATTCAAAAGGGATTCCCCCACTTTAAAATACATAACAGGGGAACTTGGGGTCCTTCTATACCAGGCATGGGTATAGGTGTTTTGGACTCCAACTCCCACCATTCCCAACAGCCTCAGGCCCCTTCCTTTCCCCCCTCAGCTGCTTAAGCGCCTGAGGGGGGAAAGGAAGGGGCCTGAGGCTGTTGGGAATGGTGGGAGTCCAAAACACTTGGAGGGCCCGAGATTGCCCATGCCTGGTCTACACTGTGGAATTAACCCGGTTTGACACCCTTTAAAACCCCATAGCAGGGCTCAAGGCAATGGGTTGATTTAAGTTGTAGTTTGAGAAGGCCTTCGCAAACCACACACTAATTTGAGATGGCCTTAGCAAACTACACATCCCATTCATTCCCACTGTGTGCGCAATTGAAGCAATGCCGAACTGCATTAATTCCCCAGTGTAGACGCACCCTTCATTGCCATAAGGCCCCATCTACAGTGCCATATAATCCAGTTTCTGAATCCGGATCATCTTCTTAGAACTGGATTATATAGCAGTGTAGATTTGTATAATCCAGTTTCTGAATCATCTGCTTCGAACTGGATTATATAGCAGTGTAGATTTGTATAATCCAGTTTCTGAATCATCTGCTTCAAACTGGATTATATAGCAGTGTAGACTTGTATAATCCAGTTTCTGAATCTGGATCATCTCCTTCAAACTGGATTATATAGCAGTGTGGATTCATATCATCCAGTTTCTGAATTCAGATCACCTTCTTCGAACTGGGTTAAATAGCAGTGTAGGCTCGTATAAATCAGTTTTTGAATCCGGATCATCTGCTTCGAACTAGGTTATATAGCAGTGTAGGCACGTATAATCCAGTTTCTTAATCCAGATCCTCTGCTTCGAACTGGATTATATAGCAGTATAGACTTGTGTAATCCAGTTTCTGAAACTGAGTCATCTGCTTTGAAGTGGATTATATAGCAATGTAGACTCATATAATCCAGTTTAAAGCAGATCACCTGAATTCAGAAACCTGGGCCCCTCCTACGCTGCCGTATCATCCAGAGGACCAAAGCTGGTTTGAACTGGATTATATGCATCTACACTGCCATGTAATCCAGTAAGGCAGTTCATTGTCTGGTTTGAACTGGATTATATGAGTCTACATTGCCTTGTAATCCAGTTCAAAGCAGGTCAACTGGATTATATAGCAGTGTAGATCCAACCTAAGAGCAATCATGGGCCTTAAAAGCCCGACAGACTCTCTTTTTGGGAAGTCTTTCAAAACAAGAGACAGGATGGGCATCATTCAGGAGTGCTTTTATTGTGCATCCCTGCATGTCTAAGGGGTTGGACTAGATGGCCTTTGGGGGGACACTGCTAAGATTTGTGATCGCAGATAGAATAAAATAAGACTACTCTTTCTTGTGTCAGGATTGATTGATTTATTATTGTGATCAGATCTGTGTATATGAAAGAACAAGCCAAGCCCCAAACGCTAAGCTGGAACATTTACATTCAAGAGTTATAATAATGTTTCCTGAGAAGGTAGATTCATCAAAACAATATAGCTGGTTAGGAATCTCAGCATACGAGAGAGGAAAAAATCAAAAGACACATTAGCACAAATGGATGCATCTACACTGTAGAATTAATGTGGTTTAATGCCACTCAGTGCAAAGGAAAGCTGAGAGTTGTAGTTTTGCAAGGTCTTGTGCTTTCCCTGCCTTGGGCTTTATTCCTAGAATTCCATCATACTGAGCCACGGCTTGAAAGTGGTTTCAAACCGCATTCGTTCAACAGTTTAGATGCAAACCAAACGTCCTTCAAAAGCTCTAGTCCAGGCCCAGGCAAACTTTGGTCCTCCAGGTATTTTGGACTGCAACTCCCACAATTTCTAACAGCTAGCAGGCTGTAGGAATTGTGGGAGTTGCAGTCCAAAACACTTGGAGGACCGAAGTTTGCTCATGCTCATCATGTCTATGACATGATGGGAGATGTAGTTCCAAACAAGTTGAAGAACCACTGGCCTAGATGGACATTTAATGGCCAATGAAATCCAATGCCATCGACAGCAATGAAAGAAAACTCCAGGTTTTGCAAGGAGTCCTTCTTTTTCAGAAACAGGAAGAAAGGTCATTGTGAGGCAAGGCAAAAGAGGAAGGAACTGAAAACTATTTCAAGTAAATCCCATGAATCAGCCCTTAGAGGTGATTACGTTTTTTGTGCAATATACAATATATATGGTGCAATAAGCCGAATGCGGCCCGCCTGAGTTTCGAGAGGCCTTCCAATACAAATTTGCAAGGTTTGTGAATGCACAATAGGTGCATCTAGACAGTGGAACGGATGCAGTTTGTCACCTATGGGATCCTGGGAGTTATAATATTCCAAGGCTTCTGCAAACTACAACACCCAGGACCCCATAGCATTCAGCCACAGCAGTTAAGGTGACCTCAGCTACATCTACACTGTAGAACGGATGTCCTTTGGCACCATTTGAATGGCTATGGGATCCTGAGAGTTATAGTTTTCCAAGGCCCCAGCAAACTATAACTTCCAGGACCCCACAGCATTCAGCCACAACAGTTAAAGTGACACCAAATTGCATCTACAATGTAGAATGGATGTACTTTGGCACCAATTCAACGGCTATGGGATTCTGGGAGTTGTAGTTTTGCAAGGCTTTGAGCCTGCTCTGTCCATTTTGGAGTGCCTTAGCAAACTACAACTCTGAGGACTGTGTGGACCTTGAGCCATTGCAAACTGCATTGATTCTAATGTGGATGCACCCCAGATTTCCTGCAATCGGCGAATGCAAGAGAATGTACGTTTGCTCTTCTTTGTGCGCATTTATGACGTGGAAACTCACTCAGTTAAGTGGCAACCCAATTGATTGCTGCAGTGAGTTCCCAGGCAAACATGCAAACAGGGTGTTTTGTTTTTGCAGCAATCGAAATGCAAGAAATGGGCACCGGGCAGGTACCCGTTCCATGCTTTTCACAGATAGAAAGTCCGACGACAAATAGCTCACCATCTTTGGGTTCCTGAGAGAGCGCCCCATTCCAGAGTTTTTCTCCACATGTGGCCATGTGGAGTTTTTCATCCAAATAAATACCCTCCGGGAAAGGATGGAGGCGGCATTGAAGGCACAAGGGCTCTAACAGCGGAAAAAGGACGGTGATCTCAAGATGAAATAATATATTTGGTGCATTTTGGGGCATGAGCTCACGCCAATTTTCCTCGCCTCTGCCATCCTGGAAAGGTTTATGCAGAGGTGATTCATACAGTGAGGCTATGCCAAAAAATGCAAAAGGGAATTGGGGGCCCAACCGTTAAAAATAAAAATCAAGGTTCAAAGATGGGGTCTGCATCTACACTGTTGACTTAATGCAGTTTGGTCCCACTTGGGACTGCCTTGGCTCAAGGCTATGGGATCCTGGAGTGCCTCACCTATACTAGAACTCCCAGGAATCCATAGCCCTGAGCCAGGGCAATGCAAGCGGTGTTGAACTGCGTTAAATTGTGGTGTAATGTGGTTTACAGGAAGGATATAGGTCAAGCAACTCAATGTTTTTTTTAAGGAGTGTCCTCCCAAAATTTAGATAGCAGCAGGACACGATGTATGGATTGTCCTTGTTTAGAAGAGGAAACATCTCCAGGGGCGCATCTACACTGCACAATTATGCAGTTGGATGCCACTTGAATGACTAAGGAATTATGGGATTTGTAGTTTGGCAAAGCACCATCCCACTTTGGCAGAGACGGTGAAAGACCTTGTGAAACTGCAACTGCCATACTTTCATAGCATTGAGCCATAGCAATTCAAGTGAGGTCAAACTGCATTAATTCCACAGCGTAGATGCATTTTACAATAACCGTTTTATCTTTGGGATCAACAACTGGACACCCAAAGGCAGAAACTCCTGAGTTGAAGGAGGAAGAAAAATGGCTTTCGTGGCCGAATTGCAAGCCGGCCTTCCGTAAGAAATGGACTTTTAGGGTGTTTGCCCTCCATCTCTTGCTTCCGTCTCAGAAGTGTCCTCCAAAAGTCACTAAACCGGGCTTTACAGTATAAGTAGATCACAACAAGGGCTGGTGTTCATGGGGTATGGAACCCACCCTGAATCCAGCAATGGATCAGCCAAGTTGGCCTTCTTCCAGGATTTTGCATTGGAGACCTTTGACAACACGATTGTCTCCAAACATCGGGAGTTGCTTCCAAGGTTCAGTGGGAAAAAGACCAAAAACTGGAACCGTTTCAACATGAAAGACATGACAGCAGGAAGGTATTACAATGCATGGAAAGCGACTTCATTTATCCACCCTTCTTTTCAACTTCTGCTTGGGGATGATGGGCCACGTTGAAGGGTCTCAGTGGGTTGGATGGGAATAGGACGGATGGGTCCCCTGAAACACACAGACATTGGGGAGGGAACAGAAGCCAAACCGGTTTACTTCCTCAAGCTCTTCTCAACCTTGTCTGGAAAACAGAGAGCAAAAGAGAGTCCTATTCTCACTTCAGGCTTAAAAGCATTAACTCCAAATGAAAACATAGGCACTCTTTTGTGTATTTGTGAAGCCCTTAGACCTGTCCTTTGAAGCACAAGCTGATGGGTTAGTAAACTCTGAGTCTAGTTGTGTGAGTTTTGAACATCATAGTCATTATTAGCAGCAGGATTAGTAATATTATTAGTACAATGTGATTAATATTGTTAGTATTGTTGCTGTTCTTTCGTTCAGTTGCTTTTGACTCTTCGTGACCTCATGGACCAGCCCACACCAGAGCTCCCTGTCAGCTGTCACCTCCCCCAGCTCCTTCAGAGCCAAGCCAGTCACTTGAAGGATCCCATCCATCCATCTTGCCTTTGGTCGGCTCCTCTTCCTTTTTCCTTCCATTTTCCCCAGCATCATTGTCTTCTCTAAGCTTTCCTTTCTTCTCATGATGTGGCCAGAGTACTTCATCTTGGCCTGTAATATCCTTCCCTCCAATGTATTATTAGTAGTATTAGTGTTCCAATTATTAGTATTATTGTTAGTAGCATTTGCCGCATCGATAGTACCCATCGCATTTTTGTTTCTTTAGTGCCCACAGGATAACTTTTTGTATTCTTTGCATTACTTATTTAGTACCATAATAATATTTGCATTACTTATTTAGTACCCATATTTGTATTATTTATCTATTACCCATAGCATTAATATTTGTATTATTTATTAAGCACCCATATTATTTTTATTTATTTAGTACCCATAATATTAGTATTCAGATTATTTATTTAGTGCCCATAGTGTTATTATTTGTTTTCTTTATTCAGTGTGCATAATATTATTTGTTTTACTTATTTAGGTCTCATAGTAATATTTGTATTAGTTATCTAGTACCCATAGCATTATTATTTGCATTCTTTATTTAGCACCCACATTATTATTATTTGCATTATTTATTGAATACCCATAGCATTATTACTTATACTATTTCTTTGGAGATGTTCAGCTGATGCTTATGGAATATTATAGCGTTTTGTTTGCCAATATTTTTAAGTCCTCAAAACCCCCTTTTACCTCTTCCTCTGACCTTAGATCCAATAGTAAGTGTCTGTCTGTCTGTCTGTCTGTCTGTCTGTCTATCTATCTATCTGTCTGTCTATCTATCTATCTATCTATCTATCTATCTATCTATCTATCATCTACTGCAGTTACTGTTGTGAAATTATTTCTAGACTGTATGGCACCCAGGGGATGGATAAAAGGATTTTCTTCTCTCAAAGGGCAGGTAAAGAAACATACAGACACCACATCAACATTTTCAGCTAACAGAGAAAGAGGGTCCAACTTGGAGGCCGACTCACCTTTAGGGACAAATTTGAGAGAGCTGCTGAATATTCAGAAGCGGGACTGGCCCTTCTTGGGTCCGTCATTAATAAACTCATGGCCCAAACCATTGCCGCACTTGCCACACAAGACCTGGAAGGAATGCATAGAGAACAGTGAGAGAACCCCCTCCGAATGGCCAGGGGCTCCAGTAGAAAAAGCGACCGGAAGCTTCTAATCGAAGGCGCAGATGCCCTCAGAAGAAACATTGCACTGGTTCACACACCTTTTGTTGCCTCAAATGTTCTGAATATATTTGACCTATGAGTTCCAAAAATGGCACCGGTTTCCCCCTATCCATTCTAGATTTTGAAATACAGAATGTATGCCATCTACCAGTCACCCATTGAAAACCATGAAACAAGAGCCGGTGCAGTCTGTCTATCCAATGCACTTTTCTGAATCAGTGCTCCAAATAACCCCAGGAAAGGGCCTAAAATACCAACATCGCAAGGAAAACAATCATTACTTCCATACGAGGATGTACAGGCATCTACAATGTTTATTCAAGGGCTCCTGCATCTTCAATTAGAGGCTTCCTCCTTATGATTTGAACAGCTACATCTATGGGAGCCTTTGATTATTCAGACGTTTTAAGCAGATCAACCCAATGTGGGCAATGCCAAGGACGTTAAAAAAGTTTCTGTTCCTGGTTTGAAAATGTTATTTCCTGTTTAACTGTACGGCCCTTACTTTAAAGGGAGTTGTTATGCTCCAGAAACTTTGTTTTTGTAGCACAAACTCTGTTGAATTGTTCGAGACTCTATGAGATATTAATTGAAAAACTATAGCAAAACGTGCTGCAGAATGTCCTTCCTGCAAAGACAAAGTTTTTGCAGTTCAATAAACCTTTTCCATGTTTTTATGACAGAACCAATTAGGAAATGACATTTATAACCCAAGAACAAAAATTGTGTTACATAGTGGTATTGATTTCATCTCATTTGAAATTGCAGTAGCTCTTTTACCAGTTTAGCAAGTACAGTAGAGACTCACTTATCCAACATATACAGGTCGGCAGAACGTTGGATAAGCAAAAATACTGGATAATAAGGAGGGATTAAGGAAAAGCCTATTAAACACCAAATTATGTTATGATTTTACAAATTAAGCACCAAAACATCATGTTTTACAACAAATTGACAGAAAAAGCACTTCAATACGCGGTAAGGTTGTCTAGGAATTACTGTATTTAAGAATTTAGCACCAAAATATCACAATGTATTGAAACAGCTGTGGATCCGGACGGGAGGCAGACTGCGTTGGATAATACAGAACATTGGATGAGCAAAGGTTGGATAAGTGAGACTCTATTGTACCATATTTACTTGAAGGCAATGCACAGCATCCTAGCTTGTCATCTAGTGCTGTATTTTACCATTTAAAAATTGATCAAAATGTAATGTCTGTAGATTGTTTTTGTTTTCACTTTAGGTTTTCTTCTTATTAGCATATCAGGAAAAGTTTGGCAAAAAATAGGTTTTTTCTCCTTGTAAAACTAGATGCAAGAATTGTGTGTTTTTTGCACTTTTCCCTCTCGTTTGTGCATATATAAGAACAAATGCATGTCAAAGAATAATTGGTAATGAAAACTCATTGGAAAGGGTTCACTTTTTTGCTGCAGCACATTAAATTCACCAGCAAATATTTGTTTTGTTTTGTTTTTAATTAGTGTGTGCCTTAGATTTGATGGCCACTTGCAACATTCACACTTGCCTCAAACAGACAAGAGTTCTGACATTCCTCAGATATATAAACCCCACTTGCCTAGTTTCCAGCGGACCTCACAACCTCTGAGGATGCCTGCCATAGATGTGGGCAAAATGTCAGGAGAGAATGCTTCTGGAACATGGCTATACAGCCAGGCTTTCTCAAATGCAGTGTAGCAGATAAGATAATATTTTTTCCTTGACCTCGGAACAGCTGGACAATTGCGATCGGATAATGATTTTGGTAATATGATGCGGAGGATTTATGTTTTTATTGAACGTATGCAATTTTATGTATGTCATATGCTTTTAACTGTTTTTATATTATTGTGGCATCAAATCGTGCCGTTTTGTAAACCGCCCTGAGTCGCCCTTGGGCTGAGAAGGGCAGTATAGAAATATAGTAAATAAATAAATAAATCTAAAGAGGAGAGGCAGATTTTTTTGGCTTTGCTTTGCTTCCTTGTGCCGAAAATAAAACTGACTTTGGGAAGCTTCTAAGATGTACAAAATGGAAACAAAAAAGTATTAGGGAAGCCCACATGTCAGCTATCCCTTGCAAGTACAAATTTAACAAACAACTTACGAGAACTAATGAAAAAATAGCACACCGATAAGGGAGGAACAGAAAGTAACATCAGGGAAACTGAAAGCACTGGGATCCAAAATGATATCTGATTGAATTCCTGGTGCAAAGAGAGTGAAAAAAGTAATGAATGTTTGATCCGATTGCTTACTTTGAAGGCATTGGGGCGTTCTAAGTACTTGGTGACGCTGTCATCGTGGATGGTTTCGGTGAACGCTGGCCAAGGAGAGGAATGGGCATATTTGGATTTGCTGGAGAAAAGCTCAAAGCCGCATTTGGAGCAAACGTACATTCCTGCAGGGAAAACAGGGCTGTAATGTCAATCACAGGCAGTCCCCGGCTCACAAAGATATATATCTGTGGCTGGAGTTACACTGAAAAAATGTCCCTCCTCCGACTTGCAAACAAATTAAGAACAAACCTACAGAACCAATCTTGCTCTTAACGTGGGGACTTACCTGTATATACTCAAGACAAGGCGGGATTTGTTCCCGAAGATAACCCCTATGAAAGTCTTACATAGAGAGGCAACTTGATGAACAACCCCATAAAACCTGACTTGCTGCAGCCTAGAAGTGGGGCTCTTTTTGGACTGTTAATCCCAGAATCCTTGAGCCAGCATGATGGGAGTGGGAGTTGAAATATAACCACTCTTATAATATTGTATACGGACTGCCAAGGATAGTGTACATGGAGTCTATCAAAACAGATATCCAACACAGATAGGAATGCATTATTATTATTAATATTATTATTCCATTATATTATTTTACCATTACATTATTACTATTCCATTATAATATTATTATACCATTATAATATTATACCATCATGTCATTACTATTCTATTATATTGTTATACCATTATATTGTTATACCATTATGTTACTTTTCCATTATAATATTATTATACCATCATGTTATTACTATTCCATTATATTACACCATTATATTGTTATACCATTATGTTACTTTTCCATTATTATTATTATTATTATTATTATTGCTATTTCATATTATTATACCATATTATTATTATATCATATTATACTACTGTTAATACTATTATTATTGTTATACCATTATTGTTATATCATGATGTTATTACTATTCCATTATTGTTATTATTACATAATTATTACTATTCCATTATAATATTCTTATTATACTATTATACCATTATATTATTATAACATTATAATATTATTATACCATGATGTTATTACTATTCCATTATATTATTATATAATTATTCCATTATAATATTATTATTCCATTGTATTATTATTATACCATTATATTATTATACCATTACAATATTATTATACCATCATATTATTACTATTCCATTATATTATTATTCCATTCTAATATTATTATACCATCATATTATTATTACATTGTATTATTATTACACCATTATGTTACTATTCCATTATTATCAATACTATTTCACTATATTATTATATCATATGATTATACTATTACTATTCCATTATTGTTGTTGTTATATTATACCATTATATTATTATTATTACTATTATTATTTTACCATGATGTTATTACTATCTATTATTATTATTATATAATTTTTTCCAATATAATATTCTTATACGATTATATTATTATACCATTTTATTATTATGTTATATTTATAATTACTACCATACCATTATATTATTATTATTATTATTATTATTATTATTATTATCATCATCATCATCATCTTGAATGCTACATCCACAGGATCTGGGGTGGAGGTCCCTTGTCATCAATCTCAGGCCTTGGCCCCACGGGGAAGCATCTCCCTGGAGCCTGTTTCACTAGATCCCAAAAGAAGACCACCCCGAAACAAAGCCTGGGCTCCCTTCTCCCGCACTGACCGGCCTCGAAGTGGTTCTGATAGACCTCTCCCCCGGAGAAGGTGCAGAAGGACATGGCGGTGCAAGCGGGTCTCTCCGTCCGCCTCTGCCCTTTATGTAACCGACTGCCTGCCTGCCTGCCTGCCTGCCTGCTGCCCTTCGCCCCGGGCGGCTCCTCCTTCCCTTTCTTTCCCTTCCTCCTCCGCCTCCGCCTTGCAGTTCCAGCGGCAGGCGCGCCAGGGGGCGCTGTCGGACAACCAGGATCCGCCGCCAGGCGCGCGGCGCTTATTATTGGATTACTGTGAATTTTCCGAGCTGTATGGCCATGTTCCTGAAGCATTCTCTCCTGACGTTTCGCCTGCATATGTGGCATTCCTCAGAGGTTGCGAAGTCTGTTGGAAACTAGGGAATTTTGCAATTGGCCAGCTTAATTAGCATTGAGTAGGCTTGAAGCTTCAAAGCCTGGCTGCTTCCTGCTTGGTGGAATCCTTTGTTGGGAGGTGTTAGATGGCCATGACGGTTTCCTGTCTGGAATTCCCCTGTTTTTGAGTGTTGCTCTTTATGTACTGTCCTGATTTTAGAGGGTTTTTTTTTAAATACTGGTAGCCAGCTTTGTTAATTTTCATGGTTTCTTCCTTCCTGTTGAAATTGTCCACATGGCTTGTGGATTTCAGTGGCTTCTCTGGTGGTTGTTAGAGTGGTGGTTGTTAAGAGTGGTCCAGCATTTGTTTCATGGTGGTTGTTAGAGTGGTACAGCATTTGTTTCATAAATTATGATTATTAATATTATTGTTTGAATTATTTCAATTATTATTTCAACGAATTATGAACATATTATTACAAATATTATTATTTCAATGAATTCTTATTATTTCAATGAATTAGAACTATTATTTAAAATGAATTATTATCATTTCAATATATGAAGTCTTAATATTATTATTTCAATGTATTATTATTTCATTGAATTATTACTATTATTAAATGAAATGTCATATTTCTACATAGTATTGTTAATATTTCAATGAATTATGATTATTTTAGCAAGTTGTTAATATTGTTTAATGAATTATTATTATTAGTTCAATGGATTATGATTATTTCAACATATTATTGTTAATAATATTATTACAATTTTTATTATTGTTTAAATGGATTAGTACTATTATTTCCTTGAATTATGATTATTTCAACAATTGTTATTAATATTATTTCAATGAATTATGATTATTTAATGAATTATTTTGATAAATTATTGTTAATTTGATTTCAGTCCATTATTATTTCAATATTGTGTGTGTGTGAGAGAGTATGCAGGCATTACTATTTCAAATATTATATATACACACACACACACACACACACACACAATTTCAAATATGTATATGTATAAATGCACACATACATAAATGTGCGTGTATGTAGTGGGTCCTACACACACACATTATTATTTCAAATATATATACACACACACACATATAAATATGTGTGTGAGTATGCAGTGGGTCCTGTTTAGGCATTATTATTTCAAATACTATGTTTGTATGTGTGCGCACATTATTATTTCAAATATGTATATGTGTGTGTGTATACATACAGTGGGTCTTGCTTTGTTGTTGTTCCTTCGTTCAGTCGTTTCCGACTCTTCGTGACCTCATGGACCAGCCCGCACCAGAGCTCCCTGTTGGCCGTCACCTCCCCCAGCTCCTTCAGTCAAGCCAGTCACTTCAAGGGTTTTGCTTAGGCATTAGATACAGAATGGGGGACAATGCCTGGCTCAAGAGCAGTATGTGTGAAAAAGATCTTGGAGTCCTCGTGGACAACAAGTTAAACATGAGCCAACAATGTGATGGGATTTTGGCCTGCATCAAGAGGAGCATAGTGTCTAGATCTAGGGAAGTCATGCCCCCCATGCTCTATTCCGCTTTGGTTGCCACACCTGAAATATTGTGTCCAATTCTGGGCACCACAATTGAAGAGAGATATTGACAGAGGACGGCGACTAAAATGATCAAGAGTCTGGAGAACAAGCCCTATGAGGAGCGGCTTAAGGAGCTGGGCATGTTTAGCCTGAAGAAGAGAAGACTGAGTGGAGATATGATAGCCATGTATAAATATGTGAGAGGAAGCCACAGCGAGGAGGGAGCAAGTTTGTTTTCTGCTTCCCTGGGGACTAGAACGCGGAACAATGGCTTCAAACTACAAGAGAGGAGATTCCATCTGAACATGAGGAAGAACTTCCTGACTGTGAGAGCCGTTCAGCAGTGGAACTCTCTGCCCCGGAGTGTGGTGGAGGCTCCTTCTTTGGAAGCTTTTAAACAGAGGCTGGATGGCCATCTGTCAGGGGTGATTTGAATGCAATATTCCTGCTTCTTGGCAGGGGGTTGGACTGGATGGCCCATGAGGTCTCTTCCAACTCTTGTGATTCTGAATTATTCTATGATTCTATGAGTGCAAATATACAGAAGGGGGGACGCGTAGGTCTTGTTAGGCATTAGGACACAGCAATATTATTTGAGAAACACGAAATGTGGACACACTAACAACCATTATGTCAGAATACACAGAGAAGCATTGAAATCCAAGCATGTGGACAATTTCAACAGAAAGGAAGAGCCATGAAAATGAACAAAATCTGGCTACCAGTATTTAAAAACTCTAAAATTACAACAGCAAAACAACAGAGAGGAAACAACCAGGCACATCTTAACACCTCTCAGCAAGAGATTTCCCAGGCTCAGCCAGGCCTTCAAATGCTAATGAAGGTGGTCAGCTGAAACATTCACACCTAGCTCCAGCAGGGAAGAGCTCCTTGCCCCACCCCAGCCATTCCACAGATATATAAACCCATTTTCCTACTTCCAACAGACCTCACAACCTCTGAGGATGCTTGCCATAGATGCAGGCGAAACGTCAGGAGAAATGCCTCTAGAACATGGCTCTATAGCCCGAAAAAACCCACAAGAACTTAGGTATTATAATTTCATATGTGTGTGTGTGTTTGTGTGTGTGCGTGTGTATATATATACTCAATATGTGTGTGAGTATGCAATGAGTCCTGCTTAGGCATTATTATTTTAAATACTGTATGTATATGTGTGTGTGTGTGTGTACACACCCACATTATTATTATTTCAAATATTTATATGTATATATCTACACACACACACATTGAAATGTGTGTGAGAGTATGCAGTGGGTCTTGCTTAGGCATTATTATTTCACATATATATTATATATAATATGCATATATACTCATATAAATGTGTGTGAGAGTATGTAGTGGGTCCTGCTTAGGCGAAGCTCGGGAAACCAATAATTAAAAAATAATCGTTGACCCCGTGGACCTCAGTGGCAGGTCTGACCTTCTTCCCAACCCTTTGCCTTCCTTTTCCAATATGCTTTCTATTGTTTGTCTCTCTTTGTGCTAAAAAGGGGGAAGGGGAGCCAGTCTGGGGCTGAGCTCTGTGCTGTCCTCAATTGACTCCTATTGCAAGGGATTGGGGAGGGGGAGAAAGACCCCTGCTCCAATAGACATGCTCCATGGGGATTGGCCGGCTTTGCTTTGCGGCTTCCAATGTGCGCCTTGCAAAAGGGAAGAAGGAGGCGAGACACAGAGCCTTGGCTTGAGCTGCAGAGAGAGACCGACCTGCAGAAGGAAGAGGATTATTCATTGCAAGGTTGCATCCCCTGTTTTTCTTTCTGTAAAGGACCCAGGCCTGTGAAACAGAAATTTGCCACTTGCCGGGGGTGAGTACAAGCCTCCTTGCCATTGGGCGGCTTCTGCAGCATCAGGACCAGAAGGAAGGGGCCGGGGATGCAGTCGAGCATCATCATCACCGCTCTGACCGCATCCCTTGGCGCCGCTCCTTGGACCCTCTGATGCCCGGCTTTTCGGCTTAAGTCGGGATCAGGGTCATGCCAGCAGACGGCCTGCTTGGACCGGTCGATATAATCCTCCGGCCACGAAGGAAGGATAACGGTGCCCATCGTCCTGTGGGAAAGTCAGATCTGGAAGCTGGAGGAACACAAGCCCCCAAATCGGTAAGGAGAGGATGGGGGGCAAGGTCATTCAGAACTCTTTCTCTTCCTTTGCTTGGTGTCTGCCTTCGCTCCTATTACAGGGTTTCCCCGGCTAGGTTTGTTTGACCTTTGAGGCCGAGAGAGTGGGATCTCCGCGGGGATTCAAACCCAGGCCCCCAGAATTATAATAATGTAATCTATTACTAGAATAATTATCTAATAGACCGGAGGAAAGAAGGGAAGTATTTAGGCCAGGCATGGGCCAACTTCGGCCCTCCAGGTGTTTTGGACTTCAACTCCCACAATTCCTAACAGCCTACCAGCTGTTAGGAATTGTGGGAGTTGAAGTCCAAAACACCTGGAGGGCCGAAGTTGGCCCATGCCTGATTTAGACAGAGATGTGCCTGTTTAATGCATATATTCCCTGCCGGTTTATAGCAACCTAATTTGTTTCCTAAGTTTTTCCTACTGAGATGTGGTTTTTCCTCTGCAATGGAACCAGGTCTTCCTTGGTGATCTCCCATCCAATTACTAGCCAGGACTAACCTTGCTTAGCATCCAAAATCTTACAAGATCCCGTGCCTTTCAAAAAATATCTCTCTAAAGCAGGCACGGGCAAACTTTGGCTCTCCAGGTCTTTTGGACTCCAACTCCCACAATTCCTAACAGCCTACTGGGCTGAAGTTTGCCCATGACTGCTCTATAGGTACTTGTCACTTGTTTATATATACCTTACATTTAAAGGCAGACAATTTGAAGGCCCAAAGACATGCTCCCAGAATTATAATAATCTCACCCTCACCTTAGCCCTACGTTTTAAATACAGGCAGTCCCCAAGTTATGAATATTCTGAAATGCATGGAAAGTGCCATTTCCAGCCCAAAAATATGATGTGCAATTTTTTCATGGAAAAAGTCCTAATTTGCAGAATACTCCGAAATGCATGGGAAATGCTGTTTCCTGTACAAGTATTTCATTTGCAAGTTTTGCATGGAAAAAGTCCTGATTTGCAGAATACTCTGAAATGCATGGGAAGTGCCATTTTCCCACACAAAATATGATTTTTTTTTCTATTTTGCATGGAAAAAGTCCTGATTTACAAAATACTCCAAAATGCACGCAAAGTGCTGTTTTCCTACACAAAAATAACATTTGCAAATTTTGCATGGAAAAAGTCTTGATTTGCAAAATACTCCAAAATGCATGGGAAGTTTCATTTTCCAGCACAAAAACACCATTAGCAAGTTTTGCATGCAAAAAAGTCCTGATTTGCAGAATACTCTGAAATGCATGGAAAGTGCCATTTTCCCACACAAAATATGGTTTTTTTCTATTTTGCATGGGAAAAGTCCTGATTTACAAAATACTCCAAAATGCATGCAAAGTGCTGTTTTCCTACACAAAAATAACATTTGCAAATTTTGCATGGAAAAGTCCTGATTTGCAAAATACTCCAAAATGCATGGGAAGTTTCATTTTCCAGCACAAAAACACCATTTTCAAATTTTGCATGGAAAAAGTTCTGATTTGCAAAATACTCCAAAATGCATGGAAAGTGCTACTTCCAGCACAATAATTTTGTTCTTGTTTATTAGTTCAGTTGCTTCCAACTCTTCTAGATCTCGTGGACCAGCCAACAAGAATATAATTTTGCAAATTTTGCATAGAAAAAGTCCTGATTTGCAGAATACTCAAAAACACATGGAAAGTGCCATTTTCCTGCACAAAAATACCATTTCCAAATTTTGCATGGAAAAAGTCCTGATTTGCAGAATTGTTCAAAATGCATTGAAAGTGCCGTTTTCCTGCACAAAAACATGATTTGCACATTTTGCATGGAAAAAGTACTGATTTGCAAATACAAGCAGTCCTCAAGTTACGATCAAGATTGGTTCTGTAAGTTTATTCTTACGTTGAATTTGAATGTAAGTTAGAACAGGTATGTTTTTTTAAAAGTGTAACTCTAGCCAATTTTATATTTATTTATATCTATATATTAGCTTTGAGTGGCATAGGGAAGGGTGAACACTCATGTGGGGTTTGTTTGGCTAAGTTTTTGCCTCCTTTTCTATCCCTTGATTATAATTGGATTTTGCAGAATTTGGGAGTCTTTATGAGAAAATGATAATGGAAGAGAGTCTCTTTGGACTGGAGGAAGTATTTAGACAGAGAAAGGAAGATGTACCTGTTTAATGCATGCTTTCCCTGACATTTTATGTCAACCTCATTCATTTCCTAAAGTTTTCCTACTGAGAAATGGTCCGTCCGTCCCCTGAATAGAACCAGGTCTTTGCCGGCGGTTCCCCATCCAATTACTAGCCAGGGTTGACCCAGCTTAGCACCCAAAAATCAGACAGGATCTGGTACCTTTTTTGAAAAAAAAATCTCTCTATAGATACCTGCCACTTGTTTACATATACCCATAGGATGTGTCGATACCCATGAATAAAAATATGGATAAAGTAGACAATTTAAGGCCCAAAGATCGATTTATCTTATTGAGATCCTCTACTTAGGACTGTTTGAGGCATTAAAAGTGTGCTCTATATTCATTCTGCAGAATATGAAAGAGAAAGGAAGGGGCCATCTCCATTTCTCATTTCTCAACACCCGAATACCTCGGGTGCATCTACACTGTAGAATTAACACAGTTTGGTCCCACTTTAATTCCCATGGAGGCTGTCATTTTATTAATCATCTCAGAATGATAGCAATGGGAAAATTTGCAATTTGTAAAAGGACTTCTTAAGGACAGCTCCCAGAATTCCTTAACACAAAGCCATGGCGGCTATAGAGGTATCAGACTGCATTAATTCCACTGTGCAGACGCAACCCAGTTCTGCAAGGGATTTTTGCATTACAAAAACTCTCCCTCCGGAGTCCGAAATTAGACTCTGCTCAGGGGTTTGCTTTCTTTAAAAGGAGAGCTGCTAAAGCAGATGATCCAGTTAATGCATCCTTAGAAGTGGAGCTCCTTTAAGAAGCATTTCTGCATTCAGGTGGAAAGGGCCAATGCTGCGTTGGCTTCCTTTCTTCCGTCGCCTTCCAAAAACCCCATTATCCTGATAACAAATATATTTGAGTGACACAATCTCCAAGTACAAATAGATCCACTATAAAATATCTATATCTACAAAATCCCATTATGCTTGCAATAAAATGTTGCCACAGAAGAGCCCTTTCATTCAGGGCTTCCGACATTCTTGGCCTCATGGATGCATCTCCACTGCAGTTGGATACCACTTTTGTTGCCTTGAGCCCTCTTTGCCAAAGTGTGCTAAACTGCAACTCCCAGGATTCTATCACAAGAGCCAGGGCAGTTAACGTAGGATCAGACTGCATTCGTTCTACAGTGTGAACATAGCCCTTGTAATACTACAACTCCCAGGATTCCATAGTTGCTGAATGGTGTCCACTTAATCCTTGCTGTCTGAGCTCCTTAGACATCTTCTTTCACTCTTTTTTGCAAAATAAGATTCCTAGCATTGTAGCTGGAAGGGCTATACACATACTTTTTAATACTACATGAAAAGTAGATGCAAAAGAAGCTGAATTTACTGAATTAAAAGGTTATATATACATATACTTACACATCCATATTCATATATGCACATGTATACATACACACGCACATATATATACACACACATATATATACATGCACATATACACATACCTATTCATATAAACACACATATATGTATACACACATATATACATATACATATATATACACATATACATATATACACATATGCATATACATACACACACATATATAGACAAAAGAGCATATATATGATCACACATACACATATACACACATATAAACACATATATCCATACATAACATACACACATATATATACATATATATATATACACACATATACAAACACATATCTTATCTATACACACACAAATATATCCATATATATATACACATATACATGTATACACACACAAACACACACAGATATTCTGCCTTTCCATAAAAGTACAACACAGAAACAGACAACCTCAGCAGTCTTCCTAGTGGTCAAAACACACAGACATATACACATAAACACACACACATGTGTACACACACACATATATGCAAATACAGATATACACACATATACATATATACACATATGCACATGTATATCTTCCTAGTGGTCAAAACACACAGACATATACACATAAACACACACACACACATGTGTACACACACACATATATGCAAATACAGATATACACACATATACATATATACACATATGCACATGTATATATAAACACATATATCCATACATAACACACACACATATATACACACACATTTACAAACACATATCTATCGATCTATACACATACACACATATATATCCATACACACACACACATATCCATATATATATATACACATATACATGTATACACACACAAACACACAGATATTCTGCCTTTCCATAAAAGTACAACACAGAGATAGACAACCTCAGCAGTCTTCCTAGTGGTCAAAACACACAGACATATATACACATAAACACACACACACACACACACATATATATATGCAAATACAGATAAACACACATATACATATATAGACATATGCACATGTATATATAAGCACATATATCCATACATAACATACACACATATACATATATACACACATTTACAAACACATATCTATCTATCTATCTAGCTAGCTAGTTAGCTAGCTATACACATACACATATATATCCATATATATACACACAAATATATATACACACACATATATATCTATATACACACACACACATTCTGCCTTTACATAAATGTACAACATAGAAATAGACAAGCTCAGCAGTATTCCTAGTGGTCAAAACAATCAGATTTCCTCCATACACACACACACAGAAACATAAAGATATATCAGAAGTGTATGTGTGTGCGTGATCCCATAGAAATCCTCATAGAGATTTTCCCTTTGGGCAAACCGGCCTATTTTTAATTTGTTTTAGTAAACCTCCCTGAGGGATTTAAAA